TCAGCTAGCAGGGGATGCTCAAAACCTCTGCCTGAATGAAGGCTGGCGTGGGTGCCACTAAGAAGTGCTTAATCCAGGGGCAGTCAGCAGCCATATTTCCTTGGGGTAACCTGTCAAGGTCCACATGCTGGTTGAGGGTGGAGGTTGTTGGTGCAATGTGAACAATGGGTTCAGTGTCAAAGTGCTTGGTGTCATGTCTTGAGTTAGCACATCCCCCCCCCCACACACACTGCAGGTCTGGATCTTCAGAGGTAAGAGAGCAGGTGCACTGGGTTACCACAGAAACAGAGCAAGGTCAAATGTATGTGTGGCGATCACACAGGGTCCCCGGACGTTTGACGGTCTATTGATCCGTGTGCCACCACTATGATCACTTCCCCGCTGCCACCAACCCGTTTCTCTCGGGTACACACTGAGTCCAGACAGTTGTTAACATTAAAACAAATAATCAAGTTTATTTTATAAGCATGAACAAGTTTATGGTTTCAGTTAATTTTTCTTGTCAGTTTCTTATCCTTAGTTTCTGTACCAGCCTATACCTTCCTAATAACTGCTAACTGATTATCCCAACTGTCTATCTGACTCCTCCTATCAGTTTCTCTCACTCTCTCACATCAAAACTCGACCAACCCACAGACCTATCCTCTCTCTTCCTTCTCCAACTCCCAACTGACTTCCAAACAACTCCAACTCTAACTCTAACTCCTCCCCTTGGGTTCCCACTGGCCAGTCACTTCACACTCATTTAACCCTTTCCTTATGACCCACCTAGGAGGGCAAACGCCACAGTATGACTTACTGAATCATTCACCTCACTCATTAGTACAGGAATGCAGAGATGGGTATAATAGTCTCTAGGGCAGAGCTTCCCAAACTTTTCATGATGGTGACACACTTTTTAGACGTGCCTCATTTGGCAACACAGTCATTCAGTTTTACTAGCAAACCCTTATAAGAGTGTTTGCACGATACACCTACACACTGCAGCTGACACACTAACATGTTGTGACACACCGTTTGGAAAGCTCTGCTCTAGGGCACTGCTTTCATTATATCTGTTAGGTTGAATCCCATTGCATTTTTGTGTCCTGTCCTGTTTGCTGTCAGGGTCTGACTCTGAATCTGTGAGAGTGAGAAGAAGAGGCTGTGGGTTTTACGCAGCAGGTTAAAAAACGGATGGCTGAGTCCAGTCAAAGGTGACTATAGTGAGTGGCGCTCATCTCGCTTTCAGGCTGAGGGAGCTGGCATTTGTCCACAGACAACTTTCCAGGTCATGTGGCCAGCATGACTAAACTGTTTCTGGAACAGAACACCATGCTGGAAACCAGAGTGCACAGGAACACAGTTTACCTTCCCACCACAGTGGTATCTATTTATCTACTTGCACTGCCATGCTTTCAAACTGCTAGGTTGGCAGGAGCTGGGACAGAACAACGGGAGCTCACCCCATCACAGGGATTCGAACTCCAGAGCTAGCATGGTGAAAGCATTAGTAGATCTCTCTGCACATATGTATCATAACTACAGAGACCAGAAGAACTGTATCTAATAGACAGAAGTGTTTAGCTTTGTCTTGTATCTGGACCCAATAAACACTTTGTTACTTTGAACTGTGTGAGAAAGGAGTTTTCCCCTTAACCAGGGACTGTTTCAACGTTACATTTTGTTCTTATGTTAGGTTGTATGCACAGTGCCCTGTGCTCTCTTTGAAGGAAGGGCAGGGTAAAAAAAAAAGGATAACAAACAAATATATCAAAACTCTGCATTCAAAGGCCACTGAAAAGGTGAAGGAGGGTTGCCTTTTTCCCCAGCCTGGGGACTTCTCAGGAGTCATAAGAGTGAGGGAGAAAGCCCTCTCTACATAAGTAATTCAGGGCTGTGACAAAAGCAATCTGTCCCTTCTTTGGCAGCCTGCTGGATGGGGAGGAAGCGAGAGAAGGGAGGAGTGACAGAAAGAGGGGGAAGGGACAGGAGAGGGAGAGAGAGAGAGAGACTGCATCTTTTTGGGTTTGGCTCTGTGCACCACTTACATTTGAAAAGAGGGTGGTCTTCCCATGAGTAGCCCTGGACTCCATTCACCACCGGATCTGGCCCTGCCCATTGCCAGCATGCAGCCCCCACCCCCACCCTGACACATTATCCCCTTGGCAGAAAAAAAGAGAGGTGCTAGTGATCCTAAAAGACAAAGCCCTTTCCCCTCCCTGCCTCAGATATAGCAGAGGCCTCTGCAGGACTGCAATGGAGAATCACACCCACTGCCTTAAAATAGGTTGATGAAAAACCAAAGGGAAAGTAATCGACGCTCATAACCTTAAGAGGTATAGACCACCAGATGTCACTGTGCCCTAAGAAGCAAAATTACTTTTTTACAAACCATAGTTCAAAGGGGTTTTCAGCCCTTTGTAAATTGCGGTGAACAAAAGGGACACCTTCTGCGACTCAATTTGCACAGTGCTTCGGGCTGGAGATTTTTCAGTGCGGCAAGAGTCTGGCATGCTCTTTCTCCTTCTGTGCCCCTTTAAAAGCAGGGGTGGGGAATGCCAGCCCTGGAGGCCAAATGTGGTCCTTCCTGTGGCCACACCCTTTACCTCCTGGCTTTGCTCTATGCCAGTGGTGTCCAAACTTTTTTCAAAGAGGGCCAGATTTGATGAAGTGAAGGTCCATGGAGGCCAACCAAAGTTGTTGACCTTTTTTTAGGATTGAAGTTTTTGAGCTTTTTTACTCCAGGAAATAAACTGCCACAGGGGCCAGATTAAACCGACTGGCGGGCCGGATTAGGCCCCCAAGATGGACTTTGGATATGCCTGCTCTACTGCTCTATGCCCTTTTCAAATGCCTTTGGAGACTAGAATATGTGCTTGGACTGCGACCGTTTTTCTTGCTTTTTTTCTGTTGATGGATCAAAGAACTGTGCACAAGTAAAAACTTCTAGCTTTTGTCTGGATGGAGCTTAGCCTACTATGCAAAGAATCACATCTGTTGCTCCCCCCATGTTTGCCTCTGGCACCGCCCAGCTGGCCTCCAGAGGGCTGCCCATGAGGGAATGTGGCCCTCAGGTTGAAAAAGATTCCCCCCACCCCCTGCTTTAGAGCACTGAGGAATTGTGCTGTGCTGTGTCTGGCCACATTCACAACATAATTTTAAAACACCAGGTTACCACTTTAATCAGTCGTGGCTTCTCCCAAAGAATTCTGGGAGCTGTAGTTTGTTAAAGGTGCTGAAAATCGCTAGAAGACCCCCATTCTCTTCACACAGCCACAATTCCCAGAGTTCCCTGCAGATGGGAATGGACTCTAGGAGTGGTAGCCCTGTGAGGGGAATAGGGGTCTGCTAACAACTCTCAGCATACCCAAACAGCAGAAATGTGCAGAATACTTTATGCAGATAAATAAGAATAAGAATGTATTATTTATATTCCGTCCATCTGACTGGGCCACCCCAGCCAGTCTGGGCAGCCTCCAACAAACTAAAAACATTAAGCACAGTAAAACACTAAAAAAACCTTCCCTATTCATGAAAAATAAGACAAACAGTACAAACTGTTGTAAGAATGTATTAGAAAAAATATAAAGAATAAGCTAATAATGACAGGTAGGTACATTCATTATCAGAATGAGAGTACACACCGGGAAATGATAGGAAGCCCAATTATATTCTTTTAATTTATGTTAGTAAATAGACAAGAAAATAAGAGGTAGTAAAAATATAAATTAAGCTTAATTTCTGTAAACATACAGAATATTACTTGTATATGCTTTTTGTTTATACGGTTTATATTTTTGTTTATTTAAGAAGATGTACACTATATTTGTTATATAAGATTGTCAATAAAGCATCTAAAAATTCAAAAAACAAAAACTTCCCTATTCAGGGCTACCTTCAGAAATCTTCTAAAAGTCAGATAGTTGTTTATTTCCTTGACATCTGACGGGAACGTGTTCCACAGGGTGGGTGCCACTACCAAGAAGGCCCTCTGCCTGGTTCCCTGTAACCTCACTTCTCACAGTGAAGGAACTGCCAGAACCATGTATAACGCATACAGGTTACAGAAACTCCTCTTTGCTTGATGAAGTATCTGGAGCAGAACACTGCTATGTTTTATTTTGAACATCAAATGCGTTCAGCCTGTTGGCGACGTGTGAGATTGTTGTCTCTTTAAATATTGCTTCAGTTGGGGAGATGACAAATAATTGAGGGGCAAGGGGAATGTTGCTGCCTCAGCATCAGCCCACATTTCGACCAGGAAAACAGCACACTCAGATATTCCATTGGCTTCTGCTCTTGTAGCCCAAGGGAAGCTGACTGGCGTCTTACAACTTTGTCTTTCAAAGACGCTGACTGCAGCTTCCCCCAGGGCCTTCCTCGCAAGTTAGAGCAACAGTGATGGACACAAGCTAATGGAAGAGTCTAGACTACAGAACGAGCACAATCCCAAAGTGAAGTCATTAAATGCGTGGAGCAATGAACATGGGCATACTTAGTGCATCGGCAGATGAGTACAATGCCCAGTGCACAAATGGATTCTCCCTTTCAATTCAGTGCTAGAAACTCTCAGTCTTGTTCCAAAGTGACCTTGAGAAACTTTAGACTCACAAAGCCACTCAGAAACAGTGCAATTGTATTATTCACAATGAGGCATGTAATATATATGTAAATGGTTTATATATATAATAGACCTACATTGCTTTGCTCTCCTTGGGGGAAACGGGTGTGAATATTATGCTGCCCTTCCTTTGAAGCAAAGTGCACTGAGACTTACTTATTTTATTTTTATTGCTTTTATTGAATGTGCTGAAAGTGACCCAAAAGGTGTTTACATAAAAAGAGACAAAACTTTTCATTACAAATCACGGAACACAATTACGATAACAGTGAAACAGCAGTGGCACTATCAATAATAAGACCAAAACATTAGTATTGTACTATGAAAATAAACAGTCTGGAGGCTTGAAAAAGTCTTACCATTGAAACCAAGTAGTAGGGAAAAAAAATAATTTGCCATGGAGCAGTGTATTCCAAGCAAATACATGGCCATTCATGACTTCAAAAAGAGGGTATGTGACTTGTGGGGGGGAAATCAGGAGAAAGAGACTAATTTGAAATAAGACATGACTAATTTCCAGGAGAAAGTGTTACAATTAAAATGCATCTTTAAACATGCTTTCAGTAAACTGGCAATGCTAATAAGCAGAACTTGTATACCTGGCCATGAAATATGTTAATGTTTATTAGAGATATTTATGCTTCTGATGTGTTCACAAATAACGCTTTTTGAAAATGTGTATCGAACCTCTTCATTGTATTCTATCCATTTAAAAGGAAGCTGTGTTTTTAACCCAGTTGGATTGAAAACCTTAGTTGTGAGCAGTGCTGAATATATCAGCTTTGATAAGAAATAGTTCAAGCCTTAGTTACTGCATAGCAACCAGTGTGTGTGTGTGAATGGGTTTTGCACTGGGGGTGAGGGAGGTTGTGTGGCAAGGTCCCGACCCCCCCCCCCTTGGTAGAATAAAGACACATGACTCAAATATTTAAGGTTAATGGGCTAAAAAAAGGCCACAACTTTATTGGTTACAGGTGATGAGCGGTGTATCTGACTCCAGCCCATCTGCAAGGAGTCCAGGAAGGAGTTAACCACCAGTAGGGGGAGTCCTGCTGATGCACATCAACTATGAACTCCCCCAGGGGTCACTGATAGGGGTTGTGCCTTAGGCCCTAACCTTCCTAGGCTTCAGACAGGGCCACGGCCCCCGGAATCCTTTAACAGAATACCCTTCACTATGTGGGGCAGGTGATGGCACTACATCCACTCTTCTCTTCTCCAGAAACATTCCAACACCTAACCACCAAACCTTAAAAGTTGTGACAATTTGCTACGAGGTAGACGAAAACCAAGTGGCTGGTGCCAATTTGCCAAGTGGAAAAATTCCTACCAGGCCCCTCAACGGCGACCAACCGAAGTCCATAGCAATGCCAAAAGACATGAAAACTTTAAAGGGCGGGAGGATGGGAAAACTGGAGCAGCTGGAAGCAGGAAAGAGAAAGATCTCCCGGCTGCGTCCTGCCTTTATGGGGCAGGCCACACACCCCAGACCAACCGGATTGGTCGGCCTGGCCAATGACACAGCCGGGAATCCCCCAGTCGCAGGGCTGGCTACCCACCCCCTGCGCACGTGGGAGGGTCATGAGAGCCCGCAACACCACCTCCTCCTTAAGGCGGAAGTGGCCTTGCGGGGCAAGGTCCTGATCCCTCCCCCCCTTGGTAGAATAAATACACATGACTCAAATATTTAAGGTTAATGGGGTAAAAAAGGCCACAACTTTATTGGTTACAGTATTGGCTTAGGCTATGGTTACCAGATTTTTTTTCAATGAATCCGGGGACACTTCTTTTTTTTTTCCTTTTTTTCTTTTTTTGAAGCTGAGTAGTAACAGGGAGTCAGTAGTGGGGATGGTGAGGCAAAAGACCCTGGGCCCAAGCAGATCTGCATATTGTATAAACGTGCAAAGCCCTTCTTTCACGCCCTGTGAAACATAAATGCGCAGAGTTTTAAAAAAACTGGGCAACGCCCGCCCACCCACCCACAACTCCTGAGCCTCCTCCGATCAGTCAAAACAAAGGGGGAAGGGGGCAGGAGATTTGTACCACTGAATGTCCCCGGTACCCCTTTGGCAGTGGCGGTGGCAGTGGCAATCAGCAGCCCGTAGCCAGCCTGGTAGCGCAGTTGGCTCTGGCTGACTTCAGGAGCTGCTCGCTGCCGTGGCACCCACCATTTTTCCTTGCCAGAAGTCCCCATATGATGTGTTGTGCACAAGACACATCATATGGGGACTTCCGGAGAGGGAAAATGGCGGGCACCACAGAAGCGAGCAGCTCCTGAAGCCAGCCAGAGTCAACTGCGCTACCAGACTGGCTCTGGGCTGCTGAGGCTGCCGCTGGACAGATTTGTAAATCTGGGGACATTCTGGGGGCAGAATTTGTCCTGAGACAGAAACTGGGGACATCTGGTAACCCTAGCTTAGGCATTGGATCTAACCAACTATATCTGACTCCAGCCCGTCTGCAAGGAGTCCAGGAAGGGTTAACCACCAGTAGGGAAAGTCCTGCTGATGCACATCAACTAGGAGCTCCCCCGGGGGTCACCAATAGGGGTCGTGCCTTAGGCCCTAGCCTTGCTAGTGGCATCATTCCCCACAATACAGATGTTGGTTTTCTTCTCCTGTAGTGGCTGCTCAGGCATTTAGCTCAGTTCAGGCCTAGGGATGAGGAAATCAAAATCTGATAGAGCATTTGCATGCATGCCAATTTGTGTACACCTCTTGACTGACATCACTCACCTTCCTCTATCGGGCTATACCTGTGGTGAAATCCCCACTCAGGCATAAGGCTCGCTACATGACTGCTTCAGGCAGTACCTCTCAGTGTAACCTACTCAGAGTTGTTGTTAGGAAAGAATTGTGGAGCAGAGAACCATAGGACAAAATAACAATGCAACAGAGGCATTCCTGGAGCAGCTTTGCAACTGCATTTATCAAATCTATTTTTGCAAGGTGAAAAAATGAACATATAGGCAAATCTGTGCCCATGTGATTGGGTGCTCAGCGAGCATGCTATTTTGTTGTTTTTTTTTCAAAAGTCAAAAAACCCTGTAGTTAAGTATTTGTTTTGCAAAACACAGTTCATTTGATCAATAAATGTAATTCAATTAACGGAGCCGTCCAACACATAAGTAGATAATAAGCTAATAAGCTATTAACATGGCCTAGAGAAAAACATGCAAAAGGTTAACATTTTCCATTGGCTTTTGAAAATATATAATCACAGCAAACCCATCATATCAAGGCGCCCACTCAGCCTTAATCAAGTCAAGGGTCCCACTCAGTCCTGATTACAATTTTTGTGGCTGTCGAATTTATTTATTTATTTTACACTAATACAGACCCTGTGACCCTTCAGACGCTGCTGGACTCCAACTCCATCAGCCCCAGAGAGCATAGTCAATGGCTGATGGGAAGTGGCCGTAGATTCCCTGCTCCTACACTCCATGTATTCTATAACTAGTCTAAACCAAAGCAGCTTCATTGCGGCATATTTATACCAGAGCTATTGTATGTTGGAAGGCAGAGGGCCTTCTTGGTAGTAGCACCTGCCCTGTGGAATGCCCTCCCATCAGATGTCAAGGAAATAAACAACTATCTGATTTTTAGAAGACATCTGGAGGCAGCTCTGTTCAGGGAAGTTTTAAATGTTTGATGTTTTATCGTGTTTTTAATATTCTGTTGGGAACCAGCCAGAGTGGCTGGGGAGGCCCAGATAAATGGGCAGAGTACATTTAATAAATTATTATTATTATTATTATTATTATTATTATTATTATTACTACTACTACTACTACTACCACTACTATTTCTGTTCCTCCACATTATAGGGATTGTAGAATAAATGGAAGAGCTAGCAGGTAGGCCAATTGTCATAGAATCATAGAATGTAGAGTTGAAAGCAACCCTGTGGATCATCTAGTCTAACTCCCCACAGTGCAGGAATATGCAACCGTCTCATATGGGGATTGAACCTACGACCTTGGTGTTATCAGCACCTTGTTCTAACCCAGTGTTTCCCAATCAAAGGCCATATAGCCCCCTGGGAGACCCTAGGATATTCCAAGGAGGCCACAGGTGAAAATCGCGAAAGTGGAGGGCCACAGCACGAGGCTAGAGGGCCACAGAGGGAAGTGAGAAATGAAGAAGAAAAAAATCATATATATTTTTAATTATGAAAAATGTCCTGATTGGCTGGTTATCTGCTTGGCCAAACACAAGCGGGTAAGGGGGCTGCCCACCAGGGCCCAACGCTCCTTTTTGCCACGTGTGTTTTCTTGGATCAAACCAGGCCTGAGCTACCCAGGCAGACCACACACTCTGCCACAATACACTTTGGAGAACAGGGACTTCAGTCTTGATCCTCCATACTCTGATTCGACATTCCCCAAGCTGATGCCCTCCAGTTGTTTCGAACCACAACTCCAATCAGCCAGTAACCAGGGATGATGGGAACTGTAGCTCAAAACTTCTGGGAAGCACCAAGCTGGGCTTGGCTGCTTTAATCCGTTCTCAAAATGGCCCCCTGGCAAAACCTAACTGCTACTCTGCCATTCCTCTTTAATCAGGTAATAAAAAATGCTAGTATCTGGAAATAATTGAGAACGTGGCAGATTTATCCCATTGATGAATCATGTATAACCTCGTGTGTGTTGTCAGCCTCTAGAAAACTCCCGAAGAAATAAAGGCTTCTTTGCTATTGGCTGGAACCACACAGGAAATCCTTCGATGCACTTAAGAGATTGGTAACAGTACCTCCTTCAGGTGGACGAGCATCGCGAGTCGAGCAGGCTGTCTCCTTAGCGACACTGAATCCAAAGAGTTCCAGCCAAGACCCCAAAGGGGTTTTTGTGTTTCTGTCAAAGGGATGCCGTGTTGCAAAGCCAGGAAGAGGAAAGATGGGGGGAGATGCTTTTTCGGAAGGCAAATAGCTTCATGGGAGCCTTGAAAGCTTCACGCAGCCGCGCAACATGTCTGAAAGGTAGGCAGCTGAAAGTAGGCGAGTAACTTTAGTCTTTGCACTATTGACTTGACACACTTTGAAAAACCGAGATAGGGTTACAGGATTGAGTATCTCCTTTTTTGTATATTAACGCACAGTTAGCAGTCACTGAATGGCTGAGGCTGGTTCTGCGTGCTGGGAAAGCGAAGGAGAAATATGTCACTTATTCATTACTGAAGACAAATAGCATCCTCGAAGAAATGGATTATTTATGAAAAGCAGGTACAAACAGCCTCTCAAATGCGATATTAAATGTACAGTCGTTAACATTATTGACGACTAGCCTGGTGTCCGCGTTTTGCATCCGCCGGCGATGGCTAATTGTATGCGAAATGGCTAATTATGCTAATTGGGTCTGAATTGCAAGTCAGAGACATTTTCTGTGCAGCAAAGAAATGAATGCCGCAATGTTAGTATAATCCTTCACTGTGTGGCCACACGCTGGAAAGGTATGTGCGTTGGTAAAATTGCTCTCAAATGGTTCTGTTATAATAGTTGGAGCCTCTAATGAAGCCCCAAAAGATATATTGCTGTGTCTAATGGCTCAAATGTCGGTGGTGGTGGTGGCGAGACCTGGAATGTGCCCCTCTAAAGTATGCCAAGCTACAGCTGGGTTGTTAAGCTAGCAGGAGAGAGATGGCTGCAATCACCAGAACAGCAGGGTCAGAACAAAATAAGAATAAAAAAAGAAAAATAGCAGTCACTGTGGAGTGTTGAAAGGACTTCGGTGTAATGTAGGCCTTCATAGATGAGGGTCCACGGCTATTTATTTCCATCCCGTCTCACATAATGGTCAACTGACCAGAAAAAAACACGCAGGCTTCTTTAGTTGTTCTGCTTTCTGGCACTTGCCAGAACATAAATAAGGAAGGCTTGCTGTTGTTTTCCCTCCCTAACCTGCTTGACTTTTAAAGCGGTATATTTTGGGTGAACTGCACTGGCCACACAACCAAACTCTGGGCTCGCTAGCCCCCAAACCTACCTAAAAGAATTGGGCTCCACCTAGGGAGGCCAGGTGCTAAAGTACAGCCCTGTATTGGAAGGGTGGTTCTGTGTTTCGTCCTCTGCTGTTTTCGCAGAAACTCACTAAAACCTGAGTGAATGCTATAGCAGACTTTATTCTTCATGAGGCCTGGGAGCCAGGCCACAACACTGGGTTAGCTCTCCAGGAGCTGGTCTTCTGGTCAAAGTTGCTTCTCTTAAAGGGGCCATGTGGCACTTATTTAGCTGGTAACACATACGCTACAGTCTGGTCCAAGTCCAGTTTAAAAATAAAGAACGGGAAGAAAGGAGGGCAGGATGGACCTTAAAGTTGCCCACCAACAGTTAGATTGAGCAGGCACAGCTTCTTCCCTGCTATGGTGAGAGGTCTTGCATTTTCACTGTAGCATTTACAAATGTGCATCCTTACATAAGCATTGTTGTTGGTGTTGTTGTTTAGTGGTTTAGTCGTGTCCAACTCTTCGTGACCCCATGGACCAGAGCATGCCAGGCACTTCTGTCTTCCACTGCCTCCCGCAGTTTGGTCAAACTCATGCTGGTAGCTTCAAGAACACTGTCCAACCATCTCGTCCTCTGTCGTCCCCTTCTCCTTGTGCCTTCAATCTTTCCCAACATCAAGGTCTTTTCCAGGGAGTCTTCTCTTCTCATGAGGTGGCCAAAGTATTGGAGCCTCAGCTTCAGGATCTGTCCTTCCAGTGAGTACTCAGGGCTGATTTCCTTAAGAATGGATAGGTTTGATCTTCATAAGCATTAGCATATCCAAATGTTATGCAGATCTGCGTCATCATTTGCCCTCTTTTTTGGGTGATGAACAAGTGTCCAACTCTACCCTTCCAGCAGCCTGCTTTGGGCTCTGTCCTCATGCCCTGCCCTGGCATCTGAATTTTGTATTTCAAAGCTAGCAGTCCTAACCCCGCAAGCCGTCCCTCCCAGTCCTCACATCCCTCACATTTACTAGTCATTTACAGCAATGCATTGTTTTTCCATTCATCCCTGCCACTGAGATTGCAAAAAACCAAGTGCCACACACAGCCCTCTAATTCTATCTGGTGATTGTAAGTTGGCTCATGTAGAGCAAGAGCACAGTGCAAATAGGAAGAGCTGCTATGTTATCCTTCTCTTGATAACCCCCTGCCTGGATTGCCTGCCGCTCATTGTTTCTTTCACACATGGAGTTGGTGTTCAGCCACAATGCTGGAGTTCCATTGCTGTGTGATTTACTTTTCTTATCTCTGTGGGTTTTGCTATTGGAGAATCCACTCCTGTGGTCTCAGATGACCCTGATTCTTTTCAAATGCTTTCCCTCGTCCCTCAGAAAAATTGAAGGAGGACATCCTAGGGCTATCAGACAGAAAAGGACAAAGGTTTGTTCTCTGCTGCCCCAGAGGGTGGTTCTTGAGCCACATCCACAAGAGACATTTATAGCACTATTAGATCACTTCGAACAGTCATGGCTTCTTCCCAAAGAATTCTGGGAACTGTAGTTTGTTAAGGGTGCTGAGAGTAGTTAAAAGACCCCTGTGCCCCTCAAAAAGTGGCAATTCCCAGAGTTTTCTGGGAAGAGGCTTTGCTTGTGAGGCTATACTAGAATTGTAGCTCTGGGAAGGTAATAGGAACCTCCTAACAACTTTCAGTGCCTTTAATAAAATACTGTTCCTAGAATTATTTGTGGGAAGCCATCACTGTCTAAATTGGTACCATGGTGCTTTAAATGTATTGTATGGATGCAGCAGTTGCTGGGAGGCTATTGGACAAGATGTTTCCGGTCATTGGATTACTCAGTATTGGGTGACTCACAGATGAATTGTCTCCATTAAAAAGTTGACTTTGAATGATATGAAATTGGGTGCTGACTCATTCACACATCCAAGCAATTGCTTGTTACTGTAGTCAATGAGTGGTGATTACAAGCCCCTTTTAAGACACTGAGAGGGGCTGAATGTTTATTTGAAACCTCCTTCCTTCCCACAGTACTATGTGTCAATATTATTTTTCTCTCCACTGGAAAAAAAACCACCCAAATATGCATATAATATTTTCAGACACCATATATTACTATATTCAATACTATATTGGATTCACTTGTAATGTGGTGCGCACTTCCAGTCCTTCTGCATATGGGAACCTCTTTTCATGTTTTATCACATAATATAAACATCTAGAACAATGGCAAAGGATTCTCTCTCTCTTTTCTTTTTTACATATAATGACAAACTGTATTTGGGTTATTGTAAATCTTACGATTTCTTATTTTCTCTCCCCTCCCCTCCCCCCTCGCCCATCCAACATAACTTGGCAGCCAATTCAGACAGCCGATTATCAAAAGTAATTTTTCTCGGAAGTTCTGTGGAGAGAAAAGATAATGACAGTCTTGAGTGCAGCACTGTTGACCGTAATCTATTTTTAATAAAGGATAATTTGGAGAACGTTTTTTCTCCTTCAAATGGGCAGAGCTAGATAAGGGCAGAAAGCTCTGGTAACATGCGGAAAATCTTCAACCAGTTCCTTGTTGTCAATTCTCCTCAGGATTCTATGTGCAGTGGTCTCAAATCTTTTACATCCCTCTGTAGTATCTGATAAGTGAGTCCTCCCAGCAAAAGCAGAAAGCGCAGAGAGGGGACCAATTGCTTTCTGGCTGATGAGGTGTGAGAGTACCCGATTCCACTTCTAAAACATGCAGCCTAATTGTTGATGTGAAACCTACCAGCTACAGTTGATGTTTTTAAGGTGTGTTTAATTTAGTTAGCGCATGGCAAGGGGACATTATCATCCTATAGTTGAATTTGTTTTGTGATTATTTCCCCCCCATTAGGCTTATGGAGTTCATTAGTGAGATTCTTGCCAGTGGGGAGGGGAGGGGAATTGGCGACAACATCGCAGTCCCTATCTACCAATGTTGATTATCAATGCTGATGTGGCCTCTTCATGGATGTGGCCCAAGCAATTGCCCCTTGCACACACACACACCCATATACCCAAACAGAGATGACCAGGCACTTGTGAACATGAACTGCCTCTCATCTGGTTTGTCCCCAGAGACCCACTTACAGCAGTCTTCTAATATCAGCAGTCCCAACCTAAAGAGAGACCTCTCCTGTTACAAATTACCAGGGGGCTGAAAGAGAGAAAGGCCTAGGACAGGGGAGGGATAAATATTATAGCCCAAGGGCCATATTCCTTCAATGGGAACCTTTTCAGGGCCACATACCAGCGGTAAGTGTGCCCAGAGGCAAAAGTGAGTGGAGCAACAGATATGTCTCTTGATTTTGTACAGTAGGCTGCATCCAAGCCATGGAGACTTTACTGCACACCTTTCTCTATCCAAACAAGTAAGAGGCATTATCGCAGTTCAATATTCCAGCCAGGCAAAAGCATGCAAGGACGGGGCTGAGCCAAGCCAGTGAGGATGTGGGACGTGATGGAGCATGGCCTAGAGAGATTCCTGAGGGGCAGATCGATAGAACTGGAGGGCCACATATAACCCACTCACACACACACCACTTCCCTGGACCTGAGGTTTCCCACTCCTGGTCTAGAGCTATGAGCATAGCAGTTTCTGTCAGAGCATTAGTGGTATGAATTCCTCTCTAGAAGTAAGGCCTGTGATTTATGGTAACAACCAATTTCTCACTGTGGGCAAAAGGAGGAAAATAACTCTGCCAAGACAGACAGCATGAATCTTTTTTCCCCCTCCACTTAATGGTTGATATCATCTAAAGCGCGTCTCCCAGAGGGCCTGTTTGGAGATTCAGACCGCGCCAAAGTGCTCTCCGATCTAGGCAGAAAGCTAAGGTAGTTTAAAATATGGTAAGCTGTAATTGTTTTAAATTGCATCCTGCCTCTACTGCCACAATTAGTTAAACTCGCCCTTAAGAGGCAATAATAAAAAGGAGAGCAAGGGGGAAATTGTCATCTAGCTGAACCGATCACCTTACCTGGAGTTTTAAAATATTATGAGGTGTGAAAATACAACCAGCTGAAGCTCAGCATCTTGCTGGCTGAAATGCTGTTCACCTTGAATGTATCTTTTATATACCTGCCCTCCAGCACCAATTCCCCAGCCGCCATTTAGCTCAGCTCTGTCTAGTATGAAAGAGAGCAAGTTCCCAGAATCTGAGCCAGAGGCCTCTCACGGCACTTCCGCCTGTGATGCTTTTAGCTGGAGATGGAACCTATGACCTTCCGCTTGTCCATGTCCTGTGCTTTCCAGATATGGTCTCGCACTCTCTTGCTTCTTTCAATGGATAGAGATATTAAGGCAGCCTTATGGGATAAGAAGAGTGCAGAGAAGGCTCGTGGTGTTTTCACCATCTGTGTTCGTTTATGAAGACACAAGAAGGCCAGGTGGGAAGGAAGCAGGCAGAAAGGCAGGCACAGGAAGATGTTTTAAGGCAGGTCAATCTATAGCCTTTGTGCATTGTACACATGGAGATCCATCCATGCAATTAAGGGGAAGTAGGGCCCCACCACTAGCTTTGTCTCCATAAGAACAGCCCTGCTGGATTGGATCGAAAGCCTTTCTAGTCTAGCATTCTTTTCAACCAGATTGTGCTGGTCCCAAGGGTTAATCAAGTGGCGAGGTCCGAGTCCAGTCCAAGGTCGAGGGTGCGGTATGGAGGCTGTCTGTCAAAGCTGAAGCAGGGTCCAAGGCAGGCAGTCAGGTGAGGTCAGGAACTCTGGCAGAAGAGTAGGACAGGGTGCAGGCAGGAACTGGCTACCAACAACGTTGCTCCCGCAACCTGGGACTGGGGCTGGCTGGCTTTTATCTGCCCCAAGGCATAGGGTGGCCCCAGTCCACAGGTGACTCGCCTCTCCTGGCCTGGAGGCGAGCACTCCTCCTGCAGGAACTCAGTTCCCTCCGCCTCTCTGCCCTGAGCCTCTGCAGCTCAGGAGAGGCTGGAGGGTTACCAGACCCAGAGGCAACCTCCTCTTCCCCTGACAGGGCTGAGAGTGGCGCACCTGCAGGCAATGGGTCCTCCATCACCTCAGGGGCCAGAGCAGACTCAGCTGGTGCCTGCACCTGAGGATCCGGCACAGGTGAGGACCCTTCAGGCTCAGGCCCCAGCCCCGGCTCAGCTGGTTCTGGAGGCGGGGACTCCTGTGCAGGCTGGGATCCCTCAGGTTCAGCCTCTGAGTCCGAATCCCAGGCCATCACACAGATACATCCCTGGGGCCATAGGATACATTGGCTCTCTCCTTCCAGTGTTGGGGAGAGAAAGAGAGCTCTGACCTTGGAGAAGGAGATCTAATGTCTGATTCCTCTCTCTGAATCTCCCATGGCTTTTTCTAGCCTTCCAAATATGGGACCTCCAAAATAGGTGTGGAAGAGGGTGAGCATCAAGGCATGATAGTGCAGACCAGGGGAAAACTTGTGCCTTCCTGATCCCAAGACACAAACTAGAGATTTAATTTTGCCAGCCAGGAGCTGGTGTAGCTCAGTCCCATTTCTTTCCCTCCAGTTACTCTTTCGCATATCTGTAGAGCCAGTCTGCAACAGGCTTCATATTTGAATATCATCCTATCAGATCAGCTTCTTCATCTAGCTGTCGCTTTTTTCTTTTATCTTCATTTCTTCTTTTATCTTCTTTTTTTTTTTACACCACAACTTTGCATTTTCTTAGCATTAAATATCTGCAACTGAACCTGTGGTATCCCTGCTGTAGCATTTTCAATCTCGCATTCGTAGACTAAATCATTTTAACAAATGACTATAATTTAAATCAGGGGCAGGCAGACTTGAGGCTTGTCTGATCTGCTTGGTTTTTACTAGAATCCCAAGGTCTGCCCATCAGAGCCATTTTCAAAAGGGCAAGATGCTTAGAGTGAAAGAAAAGGGTGCCTCGGAGCACATCCGGAGTATAGGAATTTCTTTGCAGCACCCAGCAATGAACCAAGCTCACAATCCTTTCACACCAAAGTCCGCACCTTCTTGGAAGAAGTACTCCTCTGAATACCAGTGGCAAGAAATCAAAAGTGGGGAAGAGTTGTTTCACTCAAATCCTGCTGGCTGACTGGCTTCCCATGGAAATCTGGTTGGCCACTGCAAGAATAAGATGCTAGACTTGATGAGTCTTTGGGAGCTTTCTTGATGTTCCTCAACACCAGCATCCATGGTTTTCCTCTATGCTTGGTTAAAGCCATTTTGGGATAGACTCTGCAGAAAAGTAGCTGCAAAGGAATGACACAGAAGAAGACCTATCCAGATCCAAGCCAATAACTCTTTTGCATTTTGTCTAGATGCTTATTAATTCAGTAAATTGTTCCTAAGTGGCCTCAGTCTCTTAAGAAAATATTGCTGCTGGTGCCAGACTTCTATCTTGGAAAACATCCCCATAGAAACCTGATCAAAACTGGGTAATGTTAATAGTGAACTACAGTGGTACCTCGGGTTACATACGCTTCAGGTTACATACGCTTCAGTTTACAGACTCCGCTAACCCAGAAATAGTACCTCAGGTTAAGAACTTTGCTTCAGGATGAGAACAGAAATCGTGCTCCAGTGGCACAGCAGCAGCGGGAGGCCCCATTAGCTAAAGTGGTGCTTCAGGTTAAGAACAGTTTCAGGTTAAGAACGGACCTCCGGAATGAATTAAGTACTTAACCCGAGGTACCACTGTACCATCTGGTGGCATTAAATGTGGAAGGAACCATAAAATCATAGCGCCTCATTCCACTTCGCAATGAAGCTCCTTGGGTCGCCATCAGCTAGTCGCTTTCATTCTGCTAAACTTACCTCACAGGGTTGGTGTGCTGATAAAATAAGAGAGAAGCAATGTATGCCACCCTGACTTCTTTGGGTAGGGTAGGAAATAATATTTGAATCATCATCATCATCTCAACTCTATAACACTCTGCACTAACAACCACCTCTCTCCTATTCTGAATTATTTTCCATGTGCATTGTGACATGGTATAATGACATATTTTATGACACTGACAGTGCATCAGATGATTATATTGTATAAAGCTAATAAAAGTCACCCCCACAGAACAGTTCACTCAAAGCAGCTTCAAATCCTTGCACACAGCAACAATCTAATGTGGCTACACGGAGAGGAAAGGCACAGTAAATTAACATTTTTATCGGCTTGGGAATAGAGGCACGTAAATATTGTTTTCCAATCCAGCTTCATAAATCAACTGTAAACACCAAAACACATACACAGATGTTTGTCAGACTCTAAATTTAAGCTCGTATAAGTCAGCCCATGTATAAAACAAAAGAAATGTGAGATTCAGAGGATGTGTTAGTAAAACGACTATGTGCTTGATCCAAGCCAGGGTTTGTAGGGGAGTCTTGGCTGAGCGCAGTAAACATCCAGAATGGGCTGCAGGTCATCAGGACCCTGGACAGCTCACAGTGGCACTTAGTAGCTCCTAGGTATAAGCTTGCTCCAACAGTAGTCTAGAGCAGGTGGTTCCCAACCTTTTTGGGTAAGGTGACTCACAAGTATACTTGGTCTCTTGAGCCATCAGTTTATTGTCACCTGAATTTTGGACCTTAGGTCTTCTCTGCCACCAGCCTCCAGAGAACTAAGTGTGGTGTAATGATTAGAGTGTCAGACTAGGACCTGGGAGACGAGGGTTCAAATCCCCACTCAGCTACAAAGTCCATTGGGTGACCTTGGGCCGAAAAGGTGGCATTTACATCCCACCTTTCTTCCAAGGAGTTCAATGTGGTGCACAACAAATGTGAGTCCTGAAGTCTTACTTCATAAGTAAAGCCAAAATAACTGTTGCTTGTAATCTGTAACTAGTAAAGGTAAAGGTACCCCTGCCCGTACGGGCCAGTCGTGTCTGACTCTAGGGTTGTGCGCCCATCTCACTTAAGAGGCCGGGGGCCAGCGCTGTCCAGAGACACTTCTGGGTCACGTGGCCAGTGTGACAAAGCTGCTCTGGCAAGCCAGCACCAGCGCAGCACACGGAAACGCCATTTACCTTCCCGCTATAAAGCGGTACCTATTTATCTACTTGCCTTTAATAGTGCTTTCGAACTGCTAGGTGGGCAGGAGCTGGGACCGAAAGACGGGAGCTCACCCCGCCGCGGGGATTCGAACCGCCGACCATGCGATCGGCAAGCCCTAGGCACTGAGGTTTTACCCACAGCGCCACCTGCGTCCCTACAATCTGTAACTAGAATACCTCTTAACATTTTTCTTGCTGTTTCGTTGCCCTATTATAATGCTGTGTTCACACTTGTAACCAAACACTGGAAAGCGTTAAAATTTAAGGCTCAAGACTTTGGTGTGGTACCAGAGAGAGGTTCAGAGGATGAGACAGAAGCATCCCTTCCCTCTTCAGTGTGGGAGAGAGCTATCTCCTCAGGCACAGAGGATGAAGGCATAACTGGTCCCCGATGCTCCCCTTCCATGGAAGTCTTTGATGGGAGTTGCTTCAGATATTCTTTTCTGTAATACAGACTCTCTCCTTGGGTGATTCCTAAATCTAATCTTCTCCTTTTTCTGTGACGTTGGACATCTTCTTTGTTGGGGGGGGGCATGATGGAGCAAAAGTGTACACAGTCCAGAACCCTGGGAAATGGAAGGTTCAAGACCATGTAAGCAGGAACCTGGAGTCATCCAGATGTATGTACTGTGCAAGCTGTGCCATTCATGTAGGGATGGAGAACCTGCGGCTCTTCAGATGTTTTAGGACTCATCACAGACCATCAATGGAGGAATACAGGTTCACGATTCATGCTTGAGTAAATAAAGGCCATGGGGTGGAACCAGTAGGCATGGCCCACAGATCTCTCCAGAGATCTTTCTTTTCGATGCCTAGCACACGCCCAACTTGTCTCCTGTGTAAACAGATGGCATGCCTTTGAGGAAGCCAAAATTTTGCCACAGTGTACAGGAAGTTCATGTCAGGTAAATTGGAATGGAAAGGGTCCCCCTGAGCTTAGGGAGTTTGAGAAGCATTGCTTTAAAGAGCATATGGAATATTTGGCAGAACCTCTTTTATTGGATATTTCAAAACGGTGAGTTTTGCCGAAGCAACTTATGATTCTGTTCAAGGGTATTCTCAAATGACAACACTGCTTCAATTTGAAGCCACTTAGTACTTTATATTGGCCTTACACTCTCGTGTAGAAGGAAGGTTCCATTACCATTCTTACCAGAGCATTTTATAGTTGCACGTCTTCCTCTACTCCCTTGTGCAGCTGTTATAATCATGTTTTGTGACAGATCATGGGGCTTGTAGAATAACCGGAGTGTGGTTTGCTGAATCGACTGTGCTACTAAAGATCAACATGAATATCTATCAAGGTATTCCTCCATAGACTTCTCTGCGCCTTTAGAGATGTTCATTTGCTTGAAATCACAACCTTGAAAATTGCACCATTTATGCAATAAAGAATAAACCAATTTCAATTCTCCTGCCCAACAAAATAACAAACCGTATAAGCTCATCTGGCGCATGCATAAAGTGCTATCTGTCAGACTCGGCTCCAGTAAAGTCAATGGTGGAGAAGAGAATCATAGAATCACAGAATTGTAGAGCTGGAAGGGACCGTGAGGGCCATCTAGTCCAATCTTTTGCTCAATGTGGAGCTTGAACCCACAACTGAGATTAAAAATCTCATGCCCTGCTGACCGAGCTATCTCAGGGAAAAGGGGAAAGTGTCAAAATGGAAGTATAGAGTTTGCAAGTTGTTCTGGTCAAGGAACAAGCCTGATCCAGAAGCTTTTGTAGGGATCAGGGTGTGTTAGGGTCTGGCCTATCCTTGTTAAGAGGCTTTCTTGCTGGCCATCTAACAGTTCCCTTCCTTTGTGCATTGCCAGGTGATGTTACAGAGGCCCATCCTAACAATCCCAGGTCCTGGATTCAGTGGCAGAGCACATGGATTGCATGCAGGAGGCTCCCAGTTCAACCCATAGTACCTGAAGTTAAAAGGACCACTCACTGAGACCTCAGAAGTTGCTGCAGATCAGAATTGACAATGCTGGGCTAGATAGACAAAGAGCCTCACCTGAAACCAGGCAGCATCCTTGCCTTGTTCAGGCATTATGCCTGAACAGGGAATTCCCAACATGAACAGAGAGTACAGGGTAGAGGGGAAGCACACACGAGCCCCACTTCCAAGAATCCCATGCATGTTGGCCCCATCTATTCCACTCTTCATCTTCTCATGTTGTCCAGGTGGGTCTGAAGGACATGTTGGAATGCGTTTGGAATCCTGTGCTATCAAGGTTCATTGCACAGGTTCTCCATTTACGTTAGAACCAGACTTTAACCCAAATGCATCTTGGATGCAGAGTTCTAGGAGTAAGTGGACTGTGGTTCTGACCCACCTCTGCAATTTCTGCGGAACCAGGATCATTTTTTCAACTCTGCGTTTTGCTCCTATACTTAGTGCACACCAGCCTGGCAGCAGTGAGCTGTACCTCTGTGTTTCCCACCCCTATCCCCTGGGCCTGATTGCTGATACCAGACCAGGAGACCCCTCTGTGACTTTACAATGTGATCTTCTTAAGCTCCTCAGGTCTGAACGCAAGCTGGCTTAGATTGCGCACCAACCATTCATCGCCCTTCTCCGATCTAAGCGATACAGAAATCCCTTTACCAGTGTTATCGTCGAGGAGCAGAGGGGTTCGCCCGCCCAGCTGTGATTCCGGCATTGCCTCTCCAGTAAGCATTCTGGTTCTGAGTTCTGTGGAAAGAAGCACAAGTTGATGGTAACCTCACTACTAGCATCTCCTTCTGCAGCATGACAGTGCAAACATTCTCCCTGAGTTTTAGCCACCAGAAAAAAGAGACTGTCTATTGTAATAGAAGAAGTAAGGGTGACCAATTTGGGTGTGGGTAGAGATGGATTGCCTCTTCAGATCCACCTGAGTAAGGACTTCAAAGCACTATGCAAGGTGCTGTTAAAATAAAGTTTTCTCCCCGCCCCCCTAGATTTAGCAGGGTATTGCATGGAATTCTGCTGAATAGAGCAGGATTTAAACCCTCTGCATCAGCTGATGAGCTCCGTTTAGTTGCTTGGTCCTGTTCATTGCTAGGAAAAGGCATGTGGTATGCCCCGCAGAGGACCTTAAGGTCCATAAATAGCAACACTCTAGAGGTCCCGGGCCCTAAGGAAGTCAGATTAGCCTCAACCAGAGCCAGGGCCTTTTCAACACTGGCTCCAACCTGGTGGAACGCTCTGTCTCATGAGACCAGGGCCCTGCGGGATCTGATTTCTTTTCGCAGGGCCTGTAAGGCAGAGTTGTTCTGCCTGGCCTTTGGCTTGGAACCAGCCTGATCCCCTCCCCCTCTTTCCTTTTCCTTGACATTTTTTTTCCCCAAACAGTTTTTAATCTGGGCTTCCACTGAAATGAGGCTGCATTTTAAGTAGTATTTTAATCTTGTTTTTAAGTTGTATTTTAATCAATTGTTTTTATACCTGATGTTAGCCGCCCTGAGCCCGGTCTTGGCTGGGGAGGACGGGGTATAAAAATAAATAAATAAATAAATAAATGTGTAGCCTATGCAGGGTTTAATCCTCTCCTGTCACCCATCAGATGATGTCACAAGTTAACGTGTGTCAGCTGCTGGGCATGTGGACATGGTTTGAGGGAAAGGGCCTCGTGGGCCAACTTGAGCTCCCTCATGGGCCATAGACCAGAGGTTTCTCACCCTTGCCTTAAAATAATTAAGAAGTGGTCAGGTGGTACGTATTCTTGCTTTTACACTTTTTTAAACTTTGCGGCTTCTCACTAGCCTTGCTTTCTGGTGGTTATTTGAGTCCTCAAATAAGCTTATAGACCTCCCAATAAGCCTTTAAAGGTTTGCACCAAGACTTCCATTGCAAAGCTGTCTAGTGGCATTCCTGTGGAATTCTGAAGAGCTCTGAGGTTTATGTGTTGCTAAAGCAGAGCAGTTTTTTTTAAAAAATAACTTAAACTTTTCAGTTTTAAAAATATCCTCTGCTGTTGTGCTCTAACAAAAAAACACAAACCAGAGCTCTTCCATGCTTTGCAGGCAATGTTTTGGACAGCTTTGCTTCTGGCAAAGCCCACGAACCTAGAGAAATATAGAGTTGTGGTGACACAAAACAGAGCACTCTGTGACAGGGGTGCCAATTTGAATAAAATACTGGGGGGCAGGTAAGCCCCACCCTGCAAAATTGATCACAAGACGTGGTGCACACACACCATTTCCATGGCAATGCTGATCTATTTGAGGGAGGCCTAGCCCCCTCAAATAGGTTAGGGGGGCAGAGGGACCTTGGCTCCTATGCTCTGTGGGGGGCCTGATCCAAATGGAGTTAGTTGTTGACATTGTTCTTCAGGAGACCCCTAAATCATCCTGATTTTTCAGTCCCCACCCCTAATAAATGTGCCATCCTTTTAAGGTGCTTTTGCCATTTTCTTTCAAATGCATTGAAAATGTCCACTGTTTGGAAACAAGCTAAAGTAATGTCTGAAATTTTCGTGCTGATTAAAAGGTATCTGGCAGAAGGGGAAATATTCCTAATTTGGCTTCTCCTCTTTCAAGCTTCCATCAGATTCCGTCAAGTATCTCACCTGGCATGAATTAGAAGAGCATGATGTTCAAGGGAACCAAATCCGCTGCCCCCGAGTGAGAGAAGGTATAGAAAAAGAATGTGGTTTGTAGCCTCCATGATATTAGGAGATAGTGGGGTGGGAATGATGGCAGAAATATGAATTGTTGAGGCAGGTGCCTTGCTTTGGAGCTTGTGTGTGCTTCAACGAACATGCCGTAGGATTGTGCAGACAGACTGATCTATAAGTTCAGTGAAGGTGTACCTCTGCATTCCCGTAGGAGCTTGCCCTTTTCAGTGAACTGACTGGGTTTAATTGGTCTACTCAGTAGATAAATCAAAAGATTTGGATAATTATCTGTTGCAGGCCAAATTTGAGTCAGCAGGGTTCCATGTTAAAAATAGGCTTGTTTGCATTGCAGTCGTCCTGTTTGCATGAATAATAATAATAATAATAATAATAATAGTTATTATTTGTACCCCATCTATCTAACTGGGTTGCCCCAGCAATTCTGGGCAGCTTCCAACCTGTATCAATATATAATAAAAGGCTTCCCTAACCATTCCTGTTAGGCAGATCACTGACTAATAGCCCAGAATGATTGTTGCTATCATGTCAATGGGAGCTCATGGTTAGCAGATAATTGGATGTCTCTCTGTGTTTCAGAGCCTTCACCAACCTGCTGGCTCAGGCTGATGGGATTTGTAGTCCAAAAAAATCTGTAGGCATCACTGTTGTTTGTTTGTTTCCATTTATGACTTGCTTCCGATAAAATATCTCAAAGCTATTTAACAGTAAGGACATCAACAGTAAGAAAAAAATGCAACAATTTAAAATAGAAAGCAATTTCAAACCCAGTACCGACAGAGACTGGGATTACAAAAATATATTTGGAAACTGTGCCTGTCTGATATGTAACAGAAGGGAGTTCCACAGGGTGGGTCCGCCATGATGATGATGTTTTTGGAAGGGGGCTCCCTACCTTTGGAACTTCCTCCTGTTAAATATTTCTCCTGCAGGCTCTTTCTTGCAGAGCATGGTGATCAGTTGGGCATATGAATGATGTGATATCCTGGTCCCAAGCTGTATAGGGCTTTGTACACCAGTACTAGCACTTTGCACAAAATATGGTCTGAAGCTCAACATCAAAAAAAATGAAGATCATGGCCACTGGTCCCATCACCTCCTGGCAAACAGAAGGGGAAGAAATTGAGGCAGTGAGAGATTTTACTTTCTTGGGCTCCATGATCACTGCAGATGGTGACAGCAGCCACGAAATTAAGAGACGCCTGCTTCTTGGGAGGAAAGCAATGACAAACCTAGACAGCATCTTAAAAAGTAGAGACATCACCTTGCCAACAAAGGTCTGTATAGTTAAAGCTATGGTTTTCTCACTAGTATGGAAGTGAGAGCTGGACCATAAAGAAGGCTGATCGCGGAAGAATTGATGCTTTTGAATTATGGTGCTGGAGGAGACTCTTGAGAGTCCCATGGACTGCAAGAACATCAAACTGATCCATTCTTAAGGAAATCAGCCCTGAGTGCTCACTGGAAGGACAGATCGTGAAGCTGAGTCTCCAATACTTTGGCCACCTCATGAGAAGAGAAGACTCCCTGGAAAAGACCCTGATGTTGGGAAAGATGGAGGGCACAAGGAGAAGGGGACGACAGAGGACGAGATGGTTGGATAGTGTCTTCGAAGCTACCAGCATGAGTTTGACCAAACTGTGGGAGGCAGTGGAAGACAACAGTGCCTGGCGTGCTCTGATCCATGGGGTCACGAAGAGTCGGACACGACTAAACGACTAAACAACAACTAGCACTTTGAATTTAGATTAGTAGCTAATTGGTAGCCAGACCAATTCTTTCAGCAGTGGCACAGCATGGTGGCAATATTCTTCCCCAGTATGCAGTCGAACTGTTGCAGTTTACATTAGCTTCAATTTCTAGACCAACCTCAGGGGCAGCCACACACACAGTGCATTGCAGTTGTCCAACGTGGTGGTTGCCAATGCATGGAAGACAGTGGTCAGGCTACCCTGGTCCAGAAATGGTTGTTGCTGGAAGCTGGTGAAAGGCATTCCTAGCCACTGAGGTCACCTGGACTTCTAGTTACGGATATGGATCTAGGAATGCCCTCAGATTATGAATCTGCTTCCTCAGGAGAAGTATGACCTTGTCCAAAGTGGTCAATTTACCATTTATCCTGGCTAAGGCTCTGCCCACCCACAGTGCCTCCATCTTGCCAGGATTCAGACTGGGTTTATTGGCCCAGGACTTTAATGATGATGATGATGATGATGATGATAATTTGTTATTTATACCCCGCGCATCTGGCTGGGTTTCCCCAGCCACTCTGGGTGGCTTCCAACAAAATATTAAAATACAATAGTCTGCTAAACATTAAAAGCTTCCCTAAACAGGGCTGCCTTCAGATGTCGTCTAAAAGTCTGGTAGTTGTTTTTCTCTTTGACATCTGGTGGGAGGTCGTGCCACAGGGCAGGTACCACTACCGAGAAGTCCCTCTGCCTGGTTCCCTGTAACTTGGCTTCTTGCAGCGAGGAAACTGCCAGAAGGCACTCAGCCCTGGACCTCAGTGTCCGGGCAGAACAATGGGGGTGGAGACGCTCCTTCAGGTATACTGGACCAAGGCTATTTAGGGCTTTAAAGGTCAGCACCAACACTTTGAATTGTGCTCAGAAACGTACTGGGAGCCATTGTAGTGTTATGTGGTCTCGGCGGCTGCTCCCAGTCACCAGTCTAGCTGCCGCATAACCAGAGATAACTAGAGCATGCACCACTCTGGCGAGACAGTCCGTGGGCAGGTAGGATCTCAGCCTGCATACCAGATGGAGCTCATAAACAGCCGCCCTGGATAACAGAATTGGCCTGTGCCTCCATGGACAGCTGTGAGTCCAAAATGACTCCTAGGCTGCACACCTGGTCCTTCAGGGGCACAGTTACCCCATTCAGGACCAGGGATTCCTCCACACCTGCCGGCCTCCTGTCCCCCAAAAACAGTACTTCTGTCTTGTCAGGATTCAACCTCAATCTGTTAGCCGCCATCCATCCTCCAACCGCCTCCAACTCACACAGGACCTTCACTGCTTTCACTGGTTCTGATTTGAAAGCGAGGTAGAGCTGGGTATCATCTGCATACTGATGAACACCCAACCCAAACCCCCTGATGATCTCTCCCAGTGGCTGCATGTAGATGTTGAAAAGCATGGGGGAGAGGGCAGAACCCTGAGGCACCCCACAAGTGAGAGCCCAGGGGTCTGAACACTCATCCCCCACCACCACATTCTGAACACAGCCAAGGAGGAAGGAGAAGAACCACTGTATAACAGTGCCCCCAGCTCCCAGCCCCTCAAGACGGTCCAGAAGGATGTTATGGTCGATGGTGTCAAAAGCCGCTGAGAGATCCAGCAGAACTAGGAAACAGCTCTCACCTTTCTCTCTAGCCCGTCGGAGATCATCAACCAGTGTGACCAAAGCAGTTTCAGTCCCGTGATGAGGCCTGAATCCCGACTGGAAGGGATCCAAATGGTCCGCTTCTTCCAGGCGTGCCTGGAGTTGTTCAGCAACCACTCGCTCAGTGACCTTGCCCAAGAATGGAAGATTTGAGACTGTGTAATAGTTGGCCATATTGGCCACATGGTTTTTTAAGAAGCGGTTTAATAACCACCTCTTTTAGCGGGTCTGGGAAAGCTCCCTCACAAAGAGAAGCATTCACCACCCCGTGAAGCCTATCACCCAGCCCTTCCCAGCTAGCTTTTATAAGCCAGGATGGGCAAGGATCAAGGAGACAGGTGGTTGGTTTCACTCGTCCAAGCAGCCTATCCACATCCTCAGAGGTAACAGATTGGAATTGATCACACGCAACTTGACTAGACAGGACGCTAGCACTCTCCCGCCCGGCCCTGCTCCCACTGTGGAGTCTACCTCTTCCTGAGTCTGAGCGACTTTATCTGCAAAAAACTTTGCAAAATCATTGCATGAGATCATGTGGCCCATAGTGGGCCCCAATGGAGCAGGTGATTCCACTAAATTGTGAACCACCTGAAAGAGTCTCCTGTTGCTGTTTTCTGCAGATGCAATAGAGGCGGTGAAGAAAGTCTTCTTCACCGTTGCTACCGCCACCTGGTAGGCTCAACATTGAGCTCTAACCCATGTCCAGTCAGCTTCAGAATGAGTTATCCGCCACCAGCACTCTAGCCATCTCAGCGATTGTTTCATCGCCCTCAGATCCGTGGAAAACCACAGGGCTGTCCGGGCTCCATGCAATCGGAGAGAGCGCTTCGGAGCCAAACAGTCAATAGCCCTGGTTAACTCCACATTCCAGCAGGCAACCAGGGAATCAGCTGAAAGGTCATCAACATGGGATAAAGCATCCCCTACCACTCTCTGGAAACCATTTGTGGAAACCACTTTCCATTAAGTGGCGGGGACGGACCATCCAAATCGGTCCCACGTCCCTGCAGAAGGGAAAGGTCATGGAGAAGTCCAGTTGCACCAGGAAGTGATCTGACCATGGCACTTCTTTAGTTTAGCTTTTACTCAGTGTCAGATCACCAACTTGCACAGCTTCTCCCAGTTCAGAAGTGATAGAAAAATAGGTCTGGGTATCATCATCCCCAAATTTCCTACTGACCGGCAGCTTCATATACAGTAGATGTTAAATAGCATTGGAGACAAGATGGTATCCTATGGTATCCCACAGTACAGTTGCCAGGAGGCAGACAGATAATCGTCCAATGACGTTCTCTGAAAGTGATCCCAGAGATAGGATCAGAACCAACGTAAAACAGAGCCGCCAGCATGCATCTCACTGTGTCGGCTCAAAAGGATATCATGGCCTATGGTATCAAAAGCTGCTGAGATATCAAGTAACAACAGGGTCTCAATCCCCGTTCCTTCTCCTGAAAAAGGTCATCCATCAGGGTGATCAAGGCCGATTCAGTCCCACAAGCAGGCTGGAAGCTGAATTAAAAGTGGGTCAAGATAATTGGCTTGCAACCGTCCTGCTGTGACCCTCTCAATCACTTTCCTCCCCCCCCCAAGGGGGCATTTGTGACCAGACAGAAGTTGTCACAAGCCAATGGCTCTTGGGTGGGCTTTTTCAATAGTGGTTGAATCACTGTCTCTTCCAAGATGGCCAGGACAACTTCCTCTCCTAAGCAGGGCTTTTTTCCAGCTGCCATTATAAGAGAACAAGGGAGGCATTCATGCTAAGTTCTGGCACCTCATTTTCTAGAAAAATAGATATCACAGCCCCCAGAATATCAGAAGCCTGCTTCACAGTAACTTAGAGAGGAGTCTTCAGTATGGTTGCCCCCATGCTGTTCTACAGCATCTCTATTGAGATATGACAGGCACCCACAATCCATACTTTGTAGAAACATTTGAAGTGGTTTGGTTTTTCTTTTGACTGGCTTTTCCAGCAAGGTGGAAATGTCTGTGCCTTAGGTCTCCATTCTGTCTTCAGTTGTTTTTGTACTGTTTTAGACTATTTTTTAGCTGTTTTGTTTTTATGGTATATTGGTAAATCAGTTTGAGACACATGTAAAAGGTGATTCATAAGCAATACTAACAGCACTAATGAATTAAACTTTATTGTTTAAAGCCATAGACAGTCACAATATAAATAGAGCAAACAATATATTTAACATATTCGATGATGATGATGATGATGATACCCCCTCAGCATGCTTTAGAAGCCAGGGGCAAGGATTATCTAGCCCAGTGGTTCCCGATTAGCCAATTACTGAGGGTGCCCTATTTTTTCAAAAGTCAAGCCACGGACCCCCTACTTTTGAAAATTTTGATAACTCTATGGTAGTTACCTCTGCAAAGCAATTCTTTGAAGAAAATGTGGGGTAGCCCTAATAAGCAAAGGATTTTAGGTACACTTTAAAAAAACGGACCATAGAATTTGTGATATTACCATGCAAAAATGACAAAAACTTAGTTGGAGGAGAGGCACAGGGTGGGACCATGGACCCCCAGGGGTTCCCAGACCCCTAACTGGGAGCCACTGGTCTAGCCTCTTTTGTTGCCCTTTGTTCTCTAGTATACCAAAGTGCAGAACAGGCCCAGCAGTGCCAGAGGGGGTGGTCAGAGAAAACTGTATCAAGAGAGTATCATGTCTCACTTGTCCACTGTGCCATTGCCACCTGGAAAAACAGCCCCTGGAAAAACGACTCCATTTGGGTCGTCGTTGACCCCCCCGCCAAACATTCCCTCTCCACCTTTGTGAATTTGGGATCAGCTCTGGTTATTAGCCAAATGCTGTATTTGATTAATGGATCTTCTTAGTAAACTTGACGCAGCTTACAACAAAGAAATGGGCCATGGTAGGATGTTACAGAATGTTGGGAGCTTTCATAAGAAGCAATCACCTTACTCATTCCTCAGTACCATAATAAAGCACATGCCGTGGGATTTTGGCAGCAAACACATTTATTTAAAGTGGCAGAACAATGCAAAGCAGGTAGAAGATTGTGGAACTGTCAAATCCAAAGTTAGGCTTGTGTTGGCAGGTTAGAAAATGTGGGTTCTTCAGGAGGCGGGGGTGTTTCCTTCCCCACACTTTCTGCCAACTGAGGATTTTAATGGATTCTACTTCCCATTGGTCCCGGTGGAGGAGAAAATGAGTATGCCAACCCAGGACTGGCATATTTTACTTTCCCCTCTGGAGGAATAAGAGATTTGGATAAGCCTCCCTAAATCCAAGTCACACACACACACCCAACACACACACAGAGCACCTCCTTTTTGCCCTCCGCTGTAGGAGCTCAGACAGCAGAGGACCAACAGCCACTGAGGCTTTCACACCTGCAGTGAGGAGACCTAAAGGATCATCTTCTCTGTATCTCTCACTTTCCACCCATGGAGAGGAGGAACTGCAAATCCTATGGCCTTTATGGCTTTCTAGGCACCATGCCATAGGTCTCTTAATTGATCCATTAATTGGTTAGTTAAAAAGTAGCTGATTGATCAGTTGGCAGCCCCAATTATCATGTTCAATTGGAGCTACGCAGTTTATCTGTGTATGGGCCTGCAGCTGATACATACTACTATCCCAGTGATCAGGAAGTATGAAGAAATCATGGAACAGAAAGGAATAAAGCAATCAAAGCCTGGCATCGGAGATAAGAAGTAATTTGCAATGAGAATCAGTTGAAAGAATTCCAATTTGTTTTCCTGGCAGCCGTCATCATCCCTTTCTCCCCCAAAGCAATCTTGAAAGCAATCCAATATGGCAAATACATTATCGTAACAATGCAGGCATCCATGATCGTCCCAACTTCCATTTCAATGCTGCCTTTCTGGGACCTAGATGGAGATCAGTTTTGCCAGATACAGCTGTCCGAAGATCTAATCCCCAACCCGTTATTTCATTCACTGTTGTTGACAAACAATAAATATGAGAAAGATTATATGAGAAAATCCTTAAGATATGGGAAATTGCATGGTTATGCTGTCATTCCACTCTTGAATTTGGCTTTGTACGTTGTTGCTTTTTAACTGTATCAAAAACCTACGGAGCCTGTTTGCACAGAGGCTGACAGTGGGAGAAAACAAATACGTGTGTCTGCAATGGGAAATAAAGACTTTTTCAGAGCACTTTAAACTCTCATTTATTTGTTTTCTTTTATTAAAGAATGCATAACCCACTTTTCATTGCTCTCACAAGGTGGTTTGGAAATTTCAAGCTACATAGGGATGTATTAATCACACAAATCATTTTTTAAAAAACCCAATCCTAATAAATAATCAGCAGCAAATCACAAAATTATCCAGGCACATCAACCAAACACAGACTAAAATAAGTCTATAGAAATTTTTTAATAACCAGTAAGGATGAGCCATCCTTATGGATGAAGGACCAAAAAGGTCTTGTCCCTCAGCCACTGATCTTAAACCTTGGGTAGGCTCATATGCATCCAGGCAGCCTTTCAGATACATATTCTGTGGTGCCAGGTGTGCATAGAAGCAACCAGAGTCTTAAAGTACACTCCTAGTTGTTCCTTGGCGAGACAGGCTTGCTGTCAGTGCCAATCAGCTGATCAGCAGTGAAAGCAAGCCCTGGTGGGATCAGTAACACTGCTGAGGTACCAACTGGCAGCACAGCCAATCTGTGCCCAGTCAGCTGATTATTGGAACATAGTTCCAAAGGTTGCTAGCAAAGGAAATATTCACTAAGGGTCATCTAATGTCATTTGTGATGCCAGCCCCTGCCCATCTGCCAAAGTGGCCTATGGGGGAGCTCAGCATCGGACTCGCTGACCAGATCCTGTTCACTGACCCTGGTTTAGAGCTTTAAAGACCAAAGGTAAAGGTAAAGGGACCACTGACAGTTAAGTCCAGTCGCAAAAGACTCTGGGGCTGCGGCACACATCTCGCTTTACAGGCCGAGGGAGCTGGCGTTTGTCCGCTTCGCAGCCAGTTTTTCCAGGTCATGTGGCCAGCATGACTAAGCCGCTTCTGGCACAACAGAATACCGACACCTGAGCAGCACACGGCAATGCTGTTTACCTTCCCGCCAGAATCTGCTTGCACTTTTGGGTATGCTTTTGAACAGCTAGGTTGGCAGGAGCTGGGAGCGAGCAACGGGAGCTCACCCCTTCACAGGGATTCAAACCACCGACCTTTTGATCGGCAAGCCCAAGGCTCAGTGGTTTAGACCACAGTGCCACCCGCGTCTCCCTTAAAGGCCAAATGCAGCCCATTACATTGGGCCCAGAACCCAAAAGGAAGCCAGTGTAGCTAGCCCAGAATTGGTGTGCAGTAATGCAATCTGAACACCTGGCACTTAGCCTTAATGGCTCTCTCTCACAAAGTATATATAATGTACTCCAACTATGGAGTTGTCTTCCCAGGGAAGTCCACCTGGCAGGAGAATCATTATCGTTTTGGCACAAGGCTTTACCTCCAGGGATTAAATTTTTAATGTTTTGTCTGCTGGTCTGGGTTTGATTTTGTGAGCTGGTTGTTCTAATAGTGGCTCCTACTAGTCTAGTGGTGCAAATTTTGAAACACAATTGCTTTTAGTGAGCCATATTTCAAAAAGGACACCCTAAAAGTTGTTGAGCTAAAAATGCGATTTTTAGATTGACTTGCCTAAGATCCAAAGATCCAGGACAAAGAGCCACTTTTCTGAAATTTCCTCCCAATGTCTATTCTGCCTTTGAAATCTCAGTAATGTCTGGGAAGATTCGGACGTATGGCAGCCCTAGTTTGTATGCTATTTGTATGTGTTTTGTGTAAGCGGCCTTGAAACTTTTGAGGTGTAAGGCACTATAAATATATGTGTGTTTGTATACAAGTGTGTGTGTGTGTGTGTGTGTGTGTGTGTCACACATACATGTACACATATCCCCTCTTGCATATTTCTAAGCTTTGAAATATTCTGCTAAGATATAAGGTAAAGGTAAAGGATCCCTGGATGTTTAAGTCCAGTCAAACTTCACTATGGTGTGGTGGTGCTCATCTCGCTTTCAGGCCAAGGGAGCCGGCGCTTGTCCGCAGACAGCTTTCCTGGTCATGTGGCCAGCATGACTAAACTACTTCCCACGCAACAGGACCCTGTAATGAGTGCCATACCAAATGGAAACGCCGTTTACCTTCTTGATGCAGCTGGTATGCTTTCAAACTGCTAGGTTGGCAGGAGCTGGGACAGAGCAATGGGAGCTCAGCCCATCATGTGGACTCGAACTGCTGACCTTTCAATCGGCAAGCCCAAGAGGCTCAGTGGTTTAGACCACAGCGCCACCTTTGTCCCTGTGATAGGAGCAGGAATATAATGTTGAGATGCCCTTCTCTCTCCCCACCTCTTCTCTGCCACAGCCTTATACTGTCTATAACATTAGTGTCTCACATTGAATATAACTGATCTGTAGACAGGACTCTTTGAACTGAAAGCAGAGGTGCTATGTGTACTTTTGTAACCCCATAAAATCTTAATAAAAACAGTTTTTTGAAAAATATTGAGATGGATATCTATATTTCTGAACAGGACCTTCTGAAGAAGAGCGTTTTTTCAGAGGAGAGCATCACACTCTGTGTGCCAGAAAAAAACTGACAGAGAATGAGAAATGGGAACAAAGACTGCAAGAGAACTGGGAAAACTGTGTGGTAAGGACTTCTTTAAAATTGTGGGCTTTATTTTTTAAAAAACGTTGCTAGTAATATCTCATTCAGGCTGCATTCCTATACACTCTTACAAGGAAGTAGGTGTCATTGGACTCCTAAATTATTGTTTCTGACTCTGGATAAAAAGTATAGGACTGTCAGTGCAGTTTTAAAAATATTTTATTTAAAGAATTTGTATCCTGCACTTCTGCCAAAAAGTGTTCCCATAGCAGCTTATAGATCACAACAAGACAGTCCCTACCCTTAGGTTTATAATTGTAAAATATGGGGCACAAAAGGAAATCTGATTAGGAGGAAGGAGATTTGTACTTATGTATGACATCCTCCTACCTATCAAATTTCCATTTGTGCCACATCTTTTTAGATTACAGTAATCGCTTACTCTTATTCTTCCTCTACTACTACTACAGGATTCTCAACCCTGTCAGGTAGTTTGAACCTCTGCCAAAGAAGGCAGCAAAATTCAGCTTGTCAAATTTGTCACCCTAATTTGTTAGCAGTTATAGGTATAACAGAGAGCCTATATGCAAAAACCAAATTAACTCAGTGAGCCTCACAGTAGCTCAGCCATCTTGCTTAGAAGTAAGGAGAGTTCTGTGTTGCATGGAAACCAAGGGCCAAACAGAGATGTGCAAAGTAATCTCTGCTCCCTTTAAACATTTATTGTATCCTTTAAACATTTGCAATCGAGCTATGGAATCTGGAGATCCATACTGGAACTGTGACAGGGGACATTTTAACCCTTGCCTCTGTACCATTTTCACCCCATGAATATCTACCAACACCACCTCAGAGCTGTGATATGCATTTCCCAACAGAGTAAATAACAGTTTTGGAAGAGATTTTTCTTGGGAAAAGAACATGGTGGGATTAACCCTCCCACCTCACCAAATTACTCAAATCCATATTGTGGTCCACTGGAGTTGTTATTTGCAAGACCTGAGATGCATTCTTGTCTAGTTTGGTCTTGATGCTGTCATAAACGTTCAGTGTGCCAAAGATCTCCACTTGACTGTTCAGCTAAATGGGATCTATTTGTGTGTTCTTTGAATTCCCTCCCACCACCAGAGTTTAAATCTTTCGTACCAAGACTTGGGAGACCTTTACCAGGTAGAAAACTGCAAAAGGATTCTCCGCCGTCTAATCCGAGTGGAGAGGCTTTGGCTGGTGGACAACTCCTTGACAGATCTAAGTGCCATATGCTTGCCAAGGTAATTTGATTATTATTGGGACTTTTCCAAGCATTAACTAAGTTAATAGCAGAACGATGTATATCCCATGCATCCACAGTCACGATTGCAAGCAATTTACTATAGTGGGTTTAAATCATTAGATCACGTTATACATCATTTGTTGCAAGCGCCATCTGGAGAGGTGTTTTTTGGCCACTAGAAATTGCACTCGACCTTAGTTCATCCAAGTTTTATTCAGCTTGGAAACTAGGCTTTCCCAGTTCAGAAAAGAAGCCAGGAACTTGAACCACAGTTTGGAGTTATTATAAGATCCTAGACTGTTCTGACCCTGGCAACCACCATTTGCCAGTCTGAATGGAAAAAGGGGGGATAATGGTTGACAGATTGTGCAAAGCTGAGGCTTCTGCAGGACATATTCTCAGGGTTGTTTCACTGGAACATTATCTCATCACCCCAGAAAGTAGCACACCCAACTGTAGCATAAGGTAAAGGGGTAAAGGGACCCCTGGCCATTAGGTCCAGTCGCTGACGACTCTGAGGTTGCGGCGCTCATCTCGCTTTATTGGCCAAGGGAGCCAGTGTACATCTTCTGGGTCATGTGGCCAGCATGACTAAGCCACTTCTGGCAAACCAGAGCAGCGCATGGAAATGCCGTTTACCTTCCTGCTGGAGCAGTACCTATTTATCTACTTGCACTTTGACATGCTTTTGAACTGCTAGGTTGGCAGGAGCAGGGACCGAGCAATGGGAGCTCACCCCATTGCGGGGATTCGAACCGCCAACCTTCTGATTGTCAAGCAGGCTCTGTGACTACAGCGCCACCCGTGTCCCATAGCACTGTAGTGTAGCCGGTGCTATATAAACAACCTGAGAGAGGCAGCCAGGTGAGAGGCAGTGAAGAGTGGAAGATGCTGTCTGTGTTGCAAGGAGGGAGGAAAAACCAAGGCAAGCTTTTTTCCCCCTGAAGGGAAAGGAAAGTTCCAAAACAAAAAGGCAAATCAAGGCTGGGAGACATTTACTGTAGCTCTTGCAGCGATACCAAATAGTCTCTGTGTGGTCTTATCAGAAAGGGAGTTTTTCCACACATTGGTTAATTGGAGACTTCTGGGTTTAATTGCCGCAGGTTGTGAAAGGGGAAGCAAAGTGGCTGTTGACATCTTGGCTAATTGTGTCAAGAAACTGTTTTCCAAATGAGCCCCTTCACTGACACAGGAAGAGTGTCAGAGAAATGCAATGTGAAACCAAGCTGATACGGTCCTCACCTGAGGTCTTGACCGTTTCACAAACAGATCTTTGAGCATAGTTCTTGCCGCACTGGAGACTAATGAGCGCATTTTCTGGTGCCTTTTGTAAGATAGTGTCAGTATGGGGGTCCATTGAATTGCTTCTTACAAAAGAATCATTGTCTACATTTTCAGGACTTAAAATAATAACCTCCCAAAAAACCCTTGTTGTTGTAAGTTGGAATGTCTTTTTCCCTGCATGTAATAACTGATTGCACACATTTAATGTGCTTTCCAGATGCAAAGAGCTGAAACTCAGCAGAAATCATTTTACATCCTTCAAGCAGCTGCCAAAACTACCTGCGATTCAACATCTGTCCCTTGATGAGAACAACATTGAGACCCTACATGGGCTGTGTGCCCTGAGACACACTCCACTGGAGTCTCTCGTACTCCAGAGGAACCCCTGTGAGTTTCATGACAACTACAGGCAGCTGTAAGTTATTGCACGCCACTGGAGTGTATTTAGTAGCAAGTCGGTCTGCAACAAAATGTTGCAGCGTGTCAAGTGTCTCATTTAGTCAGCCACCCCCTGCGCTCCACTCCAATAGTCTGTCCCAGGGATGGGGAACCTGTGGCCCTCCACATGTTGCGGCATGACAGCTCCCATCATTCCTGACTCTTTCACCACCCCTCTTATCCAGCTCCCCCCTGCCAACAGTCACTTGCTTCTCTATGGCCAGTGGGCAAATTGGGTCCTCACTGGTATATTGAGGGGAAGGGGGGTTTGCACCCTTGAATCCCCCCCATCCTTTTGTACTTTGCAAACCATGGGGTTCCTTTGAGTCTGCTGACACCTCCCTCTCATACATGGATAGGAAACATAGGATTTTCACAGAGTCCGATCGAGGATCCTTCTAGCTCAGTATTGACTGGCATGGACTGTCTAGGATTTCAGATAGGGGATATTGTGAGAGCCGGTGTGGTGTAGTGGTTAAGAGCGGTGGACTCGTAATCTGGTGAACCGGGTTCGCGTCTCCGTTCCTCCACATGCAGCTGCTGGGTGACCTTGGGGGGGGGGGGACACATCCTCTGTATGCAAGGATGTAAGAAAAGCCCTGCTGGATCAGACCAAAAGTTTATCTAGCTCAGCACCCAGCACAATGTTTTCTGTCTGGCCAACCAGATGCTCTTAGCCATGCTAGGGGATGTCTCTGCTTGTCACCGAGAGCCAGCGTGGTGTAGTGGTTAAGAGCGGTCTCCGCTCCTCCACATGCAGCTGCTGGGTGACCTTGGGCTAGTCACACTTCTCTGAAGTCTCTCAGCCCCACTCACCTCACAGAGTGTTTGTTGTGGGGGAGGAAGGGAAAGGAGATTGTTAGCCGCTTTGAGACTCCTTAGGGTAGTGATAAAGCGGGATATCAAATCCAAAACTCTTCTCTCTCTCTCTTCTCTATCTGGAGATGTCGGGGATTGAACTTGGGGCAGCGTTTCTCAAACTTGGGTCTCCCCAAGCTGTTGTTGGACTACAACTCCCATCATCCCTGACCACTGGTCCTGCTAGCTAGGGGTGATGGGAATTGTAGTCCAACAGCAGCTGGGAACCCAAATTTGAGAAACACTGACCTGGGGGCGCTTCTGTGTGCAGTTCAGATTCTCTGCCACTGAACAATGGCCCTTCTCCTGGTATTGTCCTGAGTGGTGGTGTTTTGCGTACCGAAACACTTCTGAACACTGGAAATAGAAGGAATTGTGCGTTCCTGGGAAAGCATGTGAAGTTGTTCTCAGATTCACTGATACACCCAAAGGCATGGGAGTTGTAAGTTAAAGCCCATAACCTTAACCTCTGCACCATGGAGTCAGTCAAAGCATTCTACTCTCACATACTGTGCTCACTTAGAGTTTAATTTCTGGACACCAGCTGTTTCCTTTGGTTTTTCTAGTGGGTCCACTAGCGGCAAAAGTGAGGTTGACTGACACACACACACCAAATTTCAGGGATGGAGAGCCCAAACTGGAGAGGGAGGGTATGGGAGCAAAATTGAAGTTAAGGTCAAGGGCATGGGATGGTGGAAATTAATTTACTCCTAAATCATATTCTCTTCTAGTGTGTTCTCTAACTTGCCAAACTTGAAAATGCTGGATGGGATCCTGAAACTGCCAGAGGACTGTCCTCCACCGGAAACCAATTTTATGTCGAAAATATGCACCATCCTATAGCATTATATTTTGTGAGAGGACTGAAGGACTTGCCACAATTCACAGAATGAATCCTGCAAATGCACAAGTCTGTTTCCTGACCTTGCGGTCATAAATAGAGCAGCTTGTATGTCGTGCCAAAAATGTCCAAATTATGCACCACAGAAAACCAAAATATGCATGTATATATACTTAATTTGGAGTATATTTATTTCCAATACTTTGTGGAGGCTGAAGGTGGCCTCAATGGCAAGGAGTGCCTATTTCCAACTGCAGTTGGTTCACCAACTTTGACCACTGTACTCCATACTCTGGTGACTTCCAGATTGGATTACTGCAACATGCTCAACATGGAGCTGCCCATGAAGATGACTTGGAAGCCTCAACCGGTCCAAAAATGCCGCAACCAGATTACTGGCTAGGGTTTAGGGCTCACATAGCTCCTGTTTTAAAACAGATGCACGGGTTGCAATTCAAGGTGCTTACACTAGTGCTTAAAGCCCTAAACGACTTGGGCTCCAGATATCTGAAGGGTTGCCTCCTTCCCTGTAACACCTCTTGGGTGTGAAGATCAGCTGAAGATTACCTTTTGGTAATTCCACCAACCTTGGAAGGAAAGGGCATTCTCTGGGTCAGCCCCTACGTTGTGGAATTGCCTCTCCACAGAGGTGCATCTCGCCACCATCCTTGTATAACTTTCACATACAAGACACACCTCTGTAACCGGATCTTTGGCAATGGAGATATTCATTTTCAGAACCCATCCTGTTCCTTTGATTGTAAATGGTTTAAACTGATCATATTCTTTTATTTCTACATTGCCGTAACCTGCCTTGTGGTGAAGGGTGGTTAAGGAATCTAATAAAACTGTTGTTATTACTATCATTGATGATGATGGCGGTGATGTTGATGCTAAAGATGAAACAATTCTAGTCCTCACATAAGGAGCTAGATATCCTGCTCCCTCCTCCAAGGGGCACATGCTTCCCCCCCCCCCATTTCACTCTCACAACAACCCTGTGAGATGATGGCTAGGATTTGAACCCGGGTCTCTCCGGTCCTAGTCTAATACTCTAACCACAACCTTCACACTTTTTATTTTGTATTTTGATGGACTCTTATAGAGCAAACAGGCCTCTTCTTTTCTTAAAATAAAAACGAAGGGCTTATTCTGACACCGTTACCTGACTGATGCTTCTGCTCACTGGGTGAAGAAGTGGCCGTGCTTTCTCCAGGCTGGTGACCTCTGGATATTTTGGAATTTAGCTCCCATGAGCCTAAGCCAGCATGTCTGGGGAGGAGCAGCTTATTGAGGTTCTCATGGTTCCCCTGGCCCCTAACCCCAAAATGGGTTGGGGTTGATGGAGGTGAGATTGCCTGTTCTTCGCCTGTAGTAAATAAATAAGTCTATTCCCATTGCAGCTCAGCAAAATAGGGTGCTATACACTTCCCGCTACTCCAGCCCCCGATTGGTGAGAGCTAACAGGAGCAATACGCAGGTTTGGAGAGCTCTCTAGAGACTTGCAATATTGTAATATGTGAATTTCTGTACAAATATATTGTTATGGGTTTGAAGGGGGGCAAGTATACCATACTATAATATGTACAAAAGAGTCAAGTTCCATGGTGCTTTCTGCAGCGTAATTTTATAAGTATATTAATGTGTACATATTTTTACACAGTTATTATATGCACTGATGTATATATCTATCTAATTGCTTTTTACTTGAGGGAACCTGAAGCATATAAGTGTGTACTATGTGTATAATATTGTACGTATAATAACACATATAATAATACATATAATATTGTTTGTGTTTTATCAGAACTGGGGAGCAAGGGGCTTTCTTACCATCAAGGTTAAAGAACAGGACAAGAATTAGGAGAAGTCCATACAGATAACTTTGATGCTGATATTTTCAGAAAGTTCCGTTTCCTGAGCTTCCGTATGGGAGGAACAGGGAGCTATGTATGGCAAAGTAGCAGGCAAAGTATGGCAAAGTGTCACCAGAAGACCCTTGAGCCCTCCAATTGTTTCCTACAAAGACATACTATGTCCTGCCAGAGAATGTGTTGTGTTGACGGATAGCCAAAACATTTGCTTTCTGTCCTCTCCCTCTCCAGCTGATTATAATCAGACCCTTTTCATTCATGGTGACCACTGACCTGTCCATCCCCAAAATTGAAAACCACAGAAAGCCTGTGGAAAGAATTTCTTGGTCATCAGCACTAAAAGAGAAAAAGGAATTTAAGCACACATGTGCTGATGGATGCTCTGATCAATTTGGATGCATGTACAAAAGCACGCAGGGGCACCGTTACGAGAACTCGAGTCAGGCGCATGCTATTAAGCTGTTTCGGAGCCCATCATTTTTCATTTGTGAACTCAATCGCAATATTTATTTCAGGTGGTGTGCACTCTGCCACGCTTAATAATTGAAAGTGCTGACAATAAGGAATGGGGTTCACAGGCAGCATATGCCGGAGATCAAAGGAACTGTATAAACAAATGTAATCAGTTTGAGAAGAATCCTGCAGGCTGAGACAGTGATGAATTAGCAATGACCGCTGCACTCATGAATAGTCAAGGGACAGGATGTCCCTAAAAGCAACAGAAATGACGAGATGCTTTAAATATGGATAAACAATTGACACTGAAGAGTGTGTTCGTTGTCCTAGCATCGTGGTCCTCCATGTACAAGACTGATATCCTGGGGCTGTGGATGTAGACAGAGAGAGAGAATTGACAACAAGGGCAACCTTTCTACAATGATCTCGAAACTTTGTGCTGGGACATGAGAAAGGGCTGCAAAAAGGCACAGCAGTGTCCATTGCCTGTTTTAGTCACCATACTGGATGCATCCATTATGCTAGACACATCTGGGGGCAGGGGGCTGTTGCAATGATCCCTTCTTTTATCTCCCACCTTATGGACAGGGGCACCATCCCATCAGATGGATTAAGAATGACCTGGGATAGCTCAGTTGGTAAAGCACGAGACTCTTAATCGCAGGGTTGTGGGTTCGAGCCCCATGTTGGGCAAAAGATTCCTGCATTGCAGAGGGTTGGACTGGATGACCCTTGTGGTCCAGCTCTACAATTCTATGATTCTACGAATGAACTGGGATTCTTTGGTTATTTACTTAGAGCAGGGGATTTCAGGCCCAGGGGATGCAACCCTACAGACCTCCTTATCTGGCCACCAGGATCCTACCTCGGCCACCAGAGACACCCATCACAACCCCACTGCATGTCCTCCCAGAGGGCTTACAATTGAGACAATGCTGATTGCTTGCTTGGGTGGAGGATGCAGAAGCATTCATGTATATATAGAAACCTCTGACCTTTACCTGTAGCCCACTATACCAGAGTCACAGCTGTTACTCTGCCCACCATTCCTTCTGGCCCTGCCGGCTCCTGAAGGATGCCTACAATGGCCTCTGGAACCACATAACACTGGTCCTAAAGGATCTACATTGGCTCCCAGGAGGCTTCTGAGCACAGTTCAAAGTGTTGGTGCTGACCTTTAAAGCCCTAAATGCATACCCTCCAACATCATTCAGATGAAAATAGGGATATTTCTCACTCCCCCTCAACTGACCCTCTGCAACTCCCCATTTTTAGCAGAAGTCTGGCAGTGGTGTGAGTTACACACATTTAGGGTTAGTTACATACCTACTTGATGCAGCTTTCTCTGCATTGAGATGTGGAGAGGAATCCTAGAAACATCAGCATTTGCCCCCCCCCAAAAAAGTCCCATTCCTAGGGATGATCAGATCTGCCTGTTTCATTTTCTCTCAACTTCCCCATTTTTCCAACCTAAAATTCAGTTTTCCACATATAATAATAATAATAATAATAATAATAATAATAATAGTTGTTGAAAGCCCCTGGCCTGATCCAGCAACCTCTTATTATGTTTTTATCACCATTTATGGCTAATGGCCATTGATAGACTCCCATGGTTGACTATGTTTAGCCTGGATAAGAAGAGACTGGGAAGAGATTTAAAAAAGGTAAAGGACCCCTGACAGTTAAGTCCAGTTGCAGATGACTCTGGGGTTGCGGCACTCATCTTGCTTTACAGGCCAAGGGAGCTGGCGTTTGTCCGCAAACAGTTTTTCCAGGTCATGTGGCCAGCATGACTAAGCTGCTTCTGGCGCAACGGAACACCGAAACCAGAGCAGCGCACGGAAACGCCGTTTACCTTCCCGCCAGAGCGGTACCTATTTATCTACTTGCACTTTAACATGCTTTCGAACTGCTAGTTTGGCAGGTGCTGGGACCGAGGAACGGGAGCTCACCCCGTCGCAGGGATTTGAACCGCCAACCTTCTGATCAGCAAGCCCAAGAGGCTCAGTGGTTTAGACCACAGCACCACCTGTGGCCCTTTGGGAAGAGATAGCCCTCTTCAAACACTTGAAGGGCTGTCATGTGGATGATGGAGCAGGCTTGTTTCAGAGATTCCAACAAAGCATTAGTAAGAACTATCGGGTGGAAAGAGCTATTTCAGTGAAACACACTACCTCAGAAGGTGGTGGACCTCCGCTGGAGGTTTTCAAGCAGAGGTTGGGCAGCCATGTGTCAGGGATCCTTTATCTGTGGTTAGTCTAGATGGCCCTTGGTGTCCCTTCCAACTCTACAATTCTATGATTCTATGACTAATCAGTGGGTACTAGTCTTGATAGGACACGTGTGGTGCTGTGGTCTAAACCACTGAGCCTCTTGGGCTTGCTGATCAGAAGGTCAGAGGTTCAAATCCCCGTGACAGGGTGAGCTTCCGTTGCTATATCCCAGCTCCTGCCAACCTAGCAGTTCGAAAGCATGCCAGTGCAAGTAGATAAATAGGTACCACTGTGGCGGGAAGGTAAACGGCATTTCTGTATGCTCTGGTTTCCGTCAAAGTGTTCCGTTGCACCAGAAATGGTTTAGTCATCCTGGCCACATGACCCGGAAAGCTGTCTGTGGACAAATGTCAGCTCCCTCAGCCTGAAAGTGAGATGAGCACCACAACCCCATCCTCGCCTTTACTGGACTTAACCATCCAGGGATCCTTTACCTTTTTTACCTTTACCACTTCAAGGAAACATGTTTCTAAACATCAGTCACCGTGGATCAACTGCATTCATGTCCTGTTTGTGGACTTCCCATAGACAACTGAGGAAAACTGGATAACGGCCAAATAAGTCTCTGTTCTGATCCATCGGTACCCTTCTTATGTTCTTCTTCTTATGTTCTTTCTTCATCAGTTTGTTTAATCACCTGTTAAAGTCGTTTCAGCTTGGTGGTCATCATAAATTCCAAAAATTAATCATACATTTTATGAAGACATTCTTTCATTTATCCGTCTTGAAACGACTTTTCATCAATTCCATTGGGTGGCCTCAAGTTCTAGTTTATAGGAATGAGAAGCAAAATCTCTGTATTCAATTTTCCCCACTTCCCCCCCCCCCCACACACAAAGGTGAAAATGAACAAAAGCAACTAGTTTCAGCATAACACTAGAACGTGTATGTGTGTGTGTGTGTGTGTGTGTGTGTGTGTGTGCGAAGTTTCTTTCTTTACCCCCCAAAAGTTAAAGAAATATTTAGGCAGGTATCCTTTTGAGGATACTTCAGGAAAAAGGAATTCTGTCTTGGGACTAGGAGGTCACGTGAGATGATGCATTGGATTCCTCGCAGCTCCCTAATTCTTCCTTCTGTATTGCTCTCCGGTTTGTATCATCCATCACTGCAATCAGCGTGTTCAACATTAGCAGGTTGGCATCTCCTATGTAGCCCACGTAGATCCCATAAATCACAGGTGGAGCAGGTGCGTCTACAGGGAAAGGCAGATCCATCAAGGCTCTCATCAATTCCAGTGTTGTACACAGCGTCCTTGGGTAGTCTTTAGAAGGCAAACACTTCTTCAGGACGAGCGTCTGAAATGGCATATAAAAATGCGAGGGGGAAATAACTAAGAAAAATCATAAATGCACCAAGGTCCCAAAGACCTGTAAGATTAAGCCAGAACACAGGCAAGAGAAATGGTGCCTGAGTTTTTCCTGGTTATACAGAGAATGTGAGAAAAGCCGTGCTGCATCAGACCAAATACCCTTTCCAGTCCTGTTTCCCACAGTGACCTTCCATAAGGCCTTTCCCACTGTTAGGCCCCAGCAGCTGATGTTCAGAAGAAAGTTGATTCTCATCCTGGAGGTAGCATATAGCCAGTATTAGAGGATGTCTCCCAGTACATTTCTGAGCACAAATCAAAGTGTTGCCCTAAATGGCCTCGGCCCAGTATACCTGAACGAGTGTCCAGCCCAGACACTGAGGTCCAGCTCCGAGGGCCTTCTGGCAGTTCCCTCACTGCAAGAAGTGAAGCTACAGGGAATCAGGCAGAGGGCCTTCTCAGTAGTGATGTCCTCCCATCATACGTTAAGGAAATAAACAACTATGTGACTTTTAGAAGACATCTGAAAGCAACTCTGTTTAGGGAAGTTTTTAATGTTGGCTGTTTTATCGTGTTTTTAATATTCTGTTGGGAGTTGGCCAGAGTGGCTGAAGAAACCCAGCCAAATGGGCAGGGTATAAATAATCATAAGTTGTTGTTGTTGTTGTTGTTTCTACTCAGAGCAGACCCTCTGAAATGGGAAGTTTTATTCACACAGGCACTCCAGTTGCGGTTACTATGCCCAGTTCCTGCTCCCAGCACTGGCCCTGGCTTCATTCTACAGACTTGAATTTCCTGCACACAGGAGGAAGGCAATACACAGCCTTAAAGCGACTCGTGCGCTTACTATCTCTGTTTAAAATCAGCCAAGATACTCTTTCATTTGAGTGAGCCCCGTGCCTATATTGGAGCCCCCCGGATCTTGACCACTTTGAGTAGTTGACTAAAGTTCTTAAGGAACTTTCCCTTGAGCAGTTCCACCTATTTCAATAATGTTACTTCTGAACAAATATCCTCACTCCTGCAAATGAATTTGTAGAGTTCCACAACTCTTCAGTTAGTACAGAAGCCCAATATGAAGTTAATAAAGCAAGAGATTTCTGCATGGACAGAATCCAAAGCACGTAGGCTTGCCTTCTGCATCATAATTGAAAACTGCCCCAGCATTGTACATTTTCTGGCACAAAAGGTCTGAATTGCACCATCCAATAAACAGCAGCTGGAGAGAGAGGAACAGCTCCCAAACCATGACCGATGGTCCACGGAGTAACTGTCTGAGAAATTAAAGTGAACTAGATTATCCTCAGCAAAATAAATGTGTTATTAAGAAGCTCCCCCAGAGGCGTTTGAAGATGAATAAGCATTTCAGAGGAGAGAGAAAAATTAAATTAGCTGAATACCTTCAAACTAAATGCCATTTAAATGCCAAACTCTAATCCAGAATTTCTTATTTACTTTTTCAGCCCCCCACCCCCCTTGTTTGTCTTAAGTAACTGGCTGGAAATTGTTTCCCCCAATTAAATTCTAAAAACAGATCTTAACATCCTCCCTCCATCCCGTCCATTTTCTAAAATATTTTTCTTTAAGGGTGTCATGATTTGCGAACATTTCACATCCAGTTTTTAGCGCTGAAAAATTGCCAGAAATAATCCCTACTGCTTTTGTTACAGTAGCACCCCCCACATCCCTGCACCGGCAAGATAGGCAGGCCTGTGGAACTACTGAGAATGAGCATTGCAAAGTTAATCCAGTCCACATTGCACTTGAGGGATTCATCCAGACTGAATGGGAACAAGCATCCCAGTTCAGACCTATTGGTTGCATACATGCCCATGTATGTGGATATGTGCATGCACACACATAAACACACACACACACACACACACACACACACGTTAGTTGCAATCAACTAATGTGTAACATTTGTTTCAATGGGACTTATTCATGACTAACATTAGTTTACTATTCAATTTACATAGCCTGTGACTCCTTCATATCAGCCTCAGCCAGCATGACCAAGGATCAATGGTGACTGCAGTTAGGAACATAAGTCGCTGCCTAATACCGTGTCAGATCACTGGTCCATCTCGCTCAATAATGTATACACTGACTAGCAGTGGCTCTTCAGGGTTTCAGACAGAGGAAATTCCCAAGCCTGGTAAGTATAGTAATTTAATTCACCGAAATGGCAAATGTTTGTATGCATTATTACGTGTTTAAATTTGATTGGTTGGTAACTGAATTGTAGAGAGTTCTCTAGTAGTTCTCATGTGATTGGCTAACGTTGGTCACATGGGAGATACCTGGCGAAGAGGAGACTCCATTTTATGTGAAGCAAGATGACTGTGTTTTAGAATCCACTGTGAACACTGCTAAGTTGACTAGAGTGCTGGAGTGCTTCTTTTCTGCTTGAAAGGAAAAGAGCAAAGCTGCAGGAGAAGCTAAAAGTGGGAATCTCTCATAGGAGCTGTGAGGCATGGCCATACTGAGATACAGAAGTCTGAGTGCTGGGCTCTGGAAAGAGAGAGGACATATAGTTGTTCGGAAGTTAGAAGAAGAGACTACAAGCCCATGCTTTGAAAGCATGTGACTGTAAATAATATATTTTAATTCATCTACGGTATATCTATAAGTTTCTGCAAGTAAAGTTTTGAATGTTAAAGTCTGGACATTGGTTTAATTTCCAAAGAACAGTGTCAGTCATATATATGATTTGAGCTTCTTAGCTGCGATTTTGCTACCCTTTACTTCAACAAAACCTACCAGGAGATTCCACTGGTTGAACTTTGAAGCTTCTGCATGCAAAGCAAATGCTTAACAACAGAAGTTGAGCAGTACAGAGAATCTGCAAAATTGCATCTACTATTTTAGTTTGTAGCACTTTCAAGAGTTTGGCTTAAGGCATTTACTTGTGACTTCATGACCGCCATTATTTCCCATTTCTGTAGTCCAGGGGTAGCTCAGACCTTGGTGTCTGAAATTTCAGTGGCACCCAGTGCAATGCCAACAACTCTCATCTCATGCCTACTGTTGGACATCATAGTTGTGGGTGCCTGTGCTACGGTGCCCCAGAAGCTCCCTCCCCTAGACCTGCCTTTGCTAACGTGATTCTCTCCTGACATTGTTGGGCTACAACTCCTATCAGCCCCAATAAGCACAGCTCACCCATCCTTTAATTTCATATTATAGATACACACACACATTTTACAAAGCAAATGCAATTTTACAGAGGGATTTGGGCACGTCATTAGGAAAGGTTCTGCTTATCCAATATTTGTGCTTCTGCTCAATCAGTTTCAGGTGCCTGGCATGGTTGCAGGTATTATTCATATTACAGCATGAGCAAGAAGTTCCATCAGCATACTGTGATGTTGGTGCTTTATCACTATTTGTTTCAGCGACATGCATAACAAAATCAAACTGCTGTGAAATAAACACGTTCCTATTTACCCTAGCCATTCTTAATTTATTTGTCAATTTTTCCATTAAAGCAATGCTCCATATCCTTTTGTAACAATAAGCTTTCATGGCCCCTGTAGTATCTTTTCCAGGACAGTCGGGCTGGCACTAGTAAGTCACTAATGGTTGATACAGTGGTTGATATAGAACCCATGGGGTTGATGGGACGGTGCAGGGAATGAATAAACTCTAGAACAGGCTTCCTCAACCTCGGCCCTCCAGATGTTTTGAGACTACAATTCCCATCTTCCCTGACCACTGGTTCTGCTAGCTAGGGATCCTGGGAGTTGTGGGCCAAAAACATCTGGAGGGCCGAGGTTGAGGAAGCCTGCTCTAGAAGTTAATAGAGGGCTGAAAAAAGCCTTAGTGTGGAAAAGAAGTTTATGAGGTTTACTGCAAAAAAATTATTTAGGAACTATGAACCTCAGAAATAAAGAACATCATGAGCATGTGCAGACCACATTCACCTTTCCAGTGAGGAACCTCTGCATTTAATAAAATGATTCCACACCGCAACAATATTCTCAAACCATGCTGCTTTATTGCTTTAAGTCCTGATTATTTTACATTTTATGATCCCTAGAAATGGCGATGGATGATTAAGAAGTGTTGATTATATATTGATTTTCCTTGACTTTATTTCATTGATATTCCTAAGAATTTGGGTTGAAGTTGACCTCAACTTTATGAGCTCACCAAGGGCTCAATGAACTCTGAAGTTTTGGAAACCCTGGCCTAAAGCCATCCATGAGTGGTGCATACTTTACTTTGTTCCTCAGTGTAGTGGAATGAGGTGGCTAAAACTTCCAGGAGGTCCTGGCTGTTTTTCTGCTGGAACGTTTGAGAATTTCATATGCACAGCAATGAAAACCAGTGAGAACCCGCCTGTTTTAATCTAGTAGCAAAACATCCCTGTGATTTACAGTCTCCTTTGCCGCATCCTATTAAGCTCAATGACATCCCAGAGTATTGAGGCAGAATTTAATTTTGCCTGCTACAGATTTTTATAGGGGGCTATAAAAAAAGTTATGTATCTGTGTTGGTGTGATGGTCCCAGAAAAAAGGCCAGCTCCTATATTTTGGTTCAGAGTTAACTGTTGTTTTCTAGGCCTTCTGAAGTTTGAGGTTCTCAGGTCCTGCTAGAATTCAGTGAAGAGGTATGAGCTCAGAGGCAGAGGATGTGAGAGCATGGGAAAAGGCAGGATTGTACCTTTAGGGAGTCTGTGCTTTTTAGCAGCTATACAATGGACCCTAATACATGGGTGCCACATCCTCAGCTTCAGAGAAGTGTGACTAGCCCAAGGTCACCCAGCAGCTGCATGTGGAGGAGCGGAGACGCGAACCCAGTTCCCCAGATTACGAATCTACCACTCTTAACCACTACACCACACTGGCTCTCAGTGATAAGCAGAGACATCCCCTAGTATGGCTGAGAACATCTGGTTGGCCAGACAGAATACATTATGCTGGGTGCTGAGCTAGATAAACCTTTGGTCTGATCCAGCAGGGCTTTTCTTACATCCTTGCATACAGAGGATGTGG